CAAACCGGAATCCAAAACCCTGAACCCGAGGTCTTCAACCCCAGACCATGAGCCCCAACCCCTGACCAGGCATCATGCAGCACTTCTAGGGACAAGAGAGGGATTACCTCTTGGGGCCGGAGATGCAGGGCTCCACGGCGCCCAGATCCAGCTCTAAGGACGAGGAGTAGGACCGATCCGCCTGGGGCTGTGAGGGATGCAGAGGGGCACAAAGGTGCAACGAGGGGCGCAGAGGGGCAGAGAGGGGCGCAGAGGGTCAGACTGGGTCAGAGAGCAGGGGAGCAAGTGAGCAAGTGGAGGGGGACGGTAATGGAGTTGAGATGGTATGGAGCTGGCGCAGGCAGGTAGTAAATGTGCATGTGAGGGGAACACAACAAAATGAGGTGCTGTGCTGTGCTGTGACAAAATGTGACAAACTATCGTCCATGTCAACCCTTCACAAAAATTTCCTCATGTGTAGCATCTTACCTCATTGTAATCGACAAACATCTTGTTGGCTCTGAGGTATGCCTCCACCATCTTCACCTGCTCGCACAGCACAGTACAGTACACGCGTTTCAGTTCAACATACAGTAATTTCATCATGCTACAAATTCGTATTTCAATCCGCATACACGTACCAGTTAACCAAAATTAGTTGAAGGACAAGGGAGGGGAGTGCTGAGATGATTAAGGAGCCAGATCATTCTAAATGCATGATGGCTTCAATCTCACCGTGCGCTCATCTCACCATGTTCCCCACCCAGCATTCATTCACCAATCTCACAACACTTTCCCCGGATTCACTCACTGTCTTATCATCGCGCCCCAAGGTCTTGATATACCACTCATTCTCTCACTGCACCCCCTCCCAACGTGTTATCATCGCGCCCAGACGTCTGGAGGTGTGCCAGCGTGGTATCGTCCACAGGGAAGAACCCCATGGTGGCGCCGTACTCAGCGGTACTATCTCCTTACCACCTACCCACTCACTCCCTCACTCATTAACCATGCTGTGTCGTCACGCCCAAAAAAGTTGCCAATCACTCACCGTATTATCATCTCGGCCGGATGTCTTCAGATACGCCAGCGTGGCATCGTCTACGGGGAAGAATCCCATAGTGGCGCCGTACTCGGGTGCCATGTTGGCGATGGTGGCCCTATCAGCGAGCGCCAGGTGGCGCATGCCGTCGCCGTGGAACTCCACGAACTTGCCCACCACGCCGTGCTGACGCAGCATGGCCGTACACGTCAGCACGAGGTCCGTGGCCGTCACGCCAGGCTGGAGCTTGCCTGTCAGCTTAAAGCCCACCACCTCGGGCAGCACCATGCTCATGGGCTGGTGGGGGTGGATAGGAGAAAGAGAGGAGGGGAGAGGGGGGGGTGTGGAAATGGAGGAACGGAAAAAGAGGGGAAGGGGGAGGGAGAAGGGGATCAGCTTAAAGCCCACCACCTCAAGGAGCACCATGGTTATGGGCTGAATGGCGGTGGAAAACAGTGGACAGGGGTGGGGGGAGGGGGGGAAGAGGGCAAGGGAAGAGGGAAGGAAGCACCATGACACTGGCTCAATTCAGCTTCGAGTCCCCAACGCGCCTGCCCAAGGCCCCCAGCATGGTGCCTTGGGCCTCAACGCCCCCCATTTCGCCCACCCCGCTATCCCCTGATGCAACGCCACTACCTACCACCCCTTGCCACCACATGACGCCGCACCAGCCATGGCACTATGCCACCACGCCTGTGCATCAACGCACCTGTCCCAGCATGGTCGCTTCCGCCTCAATGCCGCCCACGCCCCACCCCGCCACGCCCAGCCCATCGATCATGGTGGTGTGCGAGTCCGTGCCCACCAGGCTGTCCGGGTACAGCACGCCCTTGTGGGAGAAGACGACACGGGCTAGATACTCCAAGTTCACCTGCACAAGTGGTATGCACGTAGCAACACACGCAGCAAGGAATGGGAGGGGGAGGGAGAAAAGTTGACACGGATCATGTCCGTGCCCACCAGGCTGTCCGGGTAGAGCACGCCCTTGTGTGAAAAGACGACGCGAGCCAGATACTCCAGGTTCACCTGCCACAACCAGTATTCACGCAGCAACACATGCAGCAAGGAACGGGAGGGGGGAATGAATGCTTGGGAGCCCGTCGATCATGGTGGTGTGCGAGTCCGTGTCTCACCTGATGAGCACCTAGCCACGTACCTGGTGCACAATGCCAGAGCCAGGCGGCACCACGCGCATGTTCTGGAAGGCCTTGGCGCCCCACTTAAAAAAGGCGAAGCGCTCGCTGTTGCGGTCGAACTCGTGCTGCATGTTGTGCGCCACCGACTTTCGAAGCGTCTCAAAAGTCAAAAGTCGACTTTTGAGGCGCCTCAAGACTTTTGCGGTCGAACTCGTGCTGCATGTTCTGCGCCACCGCGTTGCCTGACAAGTGGGTTCATGTTCGTCACGCTCACCTGGTGCACAATTCCGGAACCCGGAGGCACCACGCGCATGTTCTGGAAGGCCTTCGCTCCCCACTTGAGAAACGCAAAGCGCTCGCTGTTGCGGTCGAACTCGAGCTGCATGTTCTGCGCGACGGCATTCGCGGAGCCCGCGACGTCGACCTGCACCGAGTGGTCGATCACCAGATCCACCGGCACCTGCGGGTTGATCGCGTTCGGATCGCCGCCCAGGGACTTCATCGCGTCGCGCATCGCCGCTAGATCTACTACGGCGGGCACGCCCGTGAAGTCCTGGAATGGGGGCGGAAGGAAGATGGAGGACGTTTACGCTGATATCATGCCATCAGATGAGAGATGCAATCGAGGGAGAAACACCGTCAATGCAACTGAGGTGACTGAGAAACCAATGCGAAATGCAAGCGCGTATCGGCTTCATCCTGCTCGCTCCGTACCTGCAGCAGCACGCGGGCAGGCTTGAAAGGAATCTCCACTTGCTGCGGGGCAGTTTTCTCCCAGTCGAGGATCTTCTCCACGTCAGCGGGCAGCACCTGGAAATTGTCGCAGTTGCGCAGCGCCGACTCGAGCAGGATGCGGATGGAGTAGGGCAGTCGATCTGACGTAGCGACAAGTAGCCGTGCCGTGACAAAGGGTGGTGATAGACAAAAGAGCCAGTTTCCAGTGAATAATCGTGTCGACACGGAGCGGTAATAGCCGATTTAAGCTGATCGCAGCAGAGGTGGGATACACGTAAAGATTAAGGCTTTAATGTAGACAGGCCTGTTCGCATGCATCAACACGAGAAGTCTAAGAATATACTAGTAAATTATAATTTACGTTTACAGATGCACACTCACCGACGCGCGGGTCGTTGAGCGCAGGCAGGCTGTAGTACTTCCCGTACGAGCCGCCGTCGGGCGACGGGAGGTCAGTGACGATGTTCTTGAACGGATTTTCGGGCGCTGCATGGGCAAGAGAGTCCAGGAGTAGAGTGACAATAGCGGAGCAGAGTGACAATAGCGGAGAATGAGTGGCGGATCACACCAACGATCAGGGGCCAGAATAAATTTCAGATTTTGATTTTGGAGATCGAAGGACGACTCTTGAAACGGTTCAGAAGGAATCTGTGCAGGATCGCAAAGTACCTGCGCTGGAGGCCTTTCGGGTGAGGATGTACGCCGACGGAACAGGCCGTGCGAGCAATCTGTGCGACACGTTAGCGCCGCCAACCGTCGCAGACGACGACATGCGACGCCACAGCGACGTCTGACCGTGGCCAGTCAGCCACGCGCTTCGCATATTCTGCGCGATCTGCGGACGATCACCCACGATCGAAGCAGATCTCTGAGCAGCCGCTGCTGACGCCGCTACAGGCGCTACAGACGCTCCGGATGTAGCGCCGGACATGGCGCTCTGAAGGCTGGGTGCTACAGTCGACATCAAACGGACCACCCGAGATGCTTTCATGGTGACGGCTGCTTTCCCCGAAACTTCCGATACACAGGGAAAGCGGGTCGTACGGGAAGGTTGGGTTCCCGAGTGGACTAGAGAAGTGCTCGAAAGAGCACAGGAGGTCGTGGGTGCCTGCGCTAGCATCAAGCTAAGAAGCTGGAACTGAAGTAATTTGTATCAAACGCAAAAGCAGGAATAAAAGTGGTGTGGGGGGAAGATGGCCAGGAAGGGGGAGAAGGGGGAAGATGGATGAGGAGAACTGTGGAGCGGGGGTGATGGGAAGGGAGAGGAGAGTGATAAGTAAAGGGAAGTTACTAAAGCACGGTGCACAGGCGAAGTGCGTTCGCATCCTACGGTTCAGTAAGGTTTTGTGCGCTGAGAGACGGCTGTTCTTTCACACCGCTCTGGAACACAACACACCGAACAGAAACGCGACTAATAAAAAAATGAACTCCTGAGGCACGCATGCTTACTAATCTCGCTGAAATGCGGAGTGGAGAAAACCCGCGCACAATTTCCACGGATTTGGCGCAGCCGACAAGGAGAGCGGCGTCTGACGCGGAAAGTTCAAAGATCACTGCGATTGGGCAAAAGGCTCCATAATTCAGGGACCAGAGTGCCTCAATTGGGTGAAAATGACGTGGATGCGAAAGTCTGCCACGTATATGAACGGCCGCAAAATGCTGGGAAATGGATCACGTCAAAAGCTCTCTTGGCCGTTGGATCATCTCCTGCGGTCAATAGCCCTGGAGATCCCTATGCGATTCCCGTGCTATAGATGTTTCGCTTCTTATCGAATTGGTGCAGCTTGAATTGCCTCTACAGCGTGTGTACATATGAAAAATACTTACAATACGAACCACGCAAGTTGTAGGTCTTGCTAAATCTTTTTCTGAGTGAAGTACCATGCCTCCGAAAACCCTTGGATCATGTGATCACCATAATACGGTATGCATGTTCCACTGTCACCCGCAACTGCAAGGTGGATGTGCCTTTCATGACCTTGATGGTCAATTACATACAAAGGAAGGCTTAGGGCTACATGTAGTAGATGCAGCCAACAACAGCACAATCTTTTCACTCGATTTCAATCCTAATGACATCCCCACACGAGGAGTTTTCTGACTAACGATCATTGTCCAGCCATGGCTTCCGACTTGACCTCCTTGGGCCTCACAATGATGACCGGGCATGCACTGGCAGAGCAGCAAGTAATGCATAGGTGAAGTTTAGGAGAGACAGACCACACAGAGAAGATATTTAGTATAGGAGCGAGCAGAACGAGAATGGAATGCAATAAGTTGAAGAGAACGGAGGAGAGACTGTGGTGCGCGCGGGCGATGCTCCGTAGGACTAACCTGTGGTGTGCGCAGTATTCACTGACTGAGCCGAGTAGAGCTCTGAAGAGGTAGGGGGAAGGAGCAGCACACGCACAGGCAGGGAAGACAATGAGAGAAAGTACAAATTGGCAGGTGAATGCAAAGGAGACAAGGGGGGTTGCACATCGGCACACACACATCACCTCGTGTGAGCTGTTTTTTTGCATGTCATGCTAAGAGACAAATGAAGACAGTGGGACTCACTTCTTCACGCCAGGGAGACTCCTGATGCCGACAGCACGTCAGCGCACACACACGTACCTCACGAGTCTCATGTCACGTGTGACACACAAAGGGACAAATGCTGACAGTGGGACTCACTTTTTAGCGGCCGGCAGGCTCCTGGTTCCAACAATGAGCACGTCAGCGCACACGCGCATCACCTCGCGGCAGATCACGTCCCTCTCGTCGCCACACGCTATCCGCCAATCGCAGTCCACCTGCAGTGCCACGTCACGTTGATCGTGAGATACCGTTCGTTCGTTATTCCGGCCCGCCACTGTGCACTTTGAAATCGGGGCCCTCAAATGGCCAACGCAAAGCGGTCTCAAAGGCTAAAAAACGGGCTGAGAACGAGGGAGGAATAGACGCGTGGGGGTACCGGGGGGATGAAGGTGCAACGGGGAAGAGGGGAGGGGTTGAGGGGGTAGGGTTGGGGGTGAGCGGGGTAAGGGGAAGGATCGAGGGCGCGGATTGCGCGGAGGGGCGCGGCTTACATCGGCGTGGGCGCATCGGCGCATGTACTTTTCCACGATGGCGCGCGCTGACGTCATCGCCTGCTGCTCTAAACACGCGATCGCCTCCTTGGGGAGCGTGCCGATGGCGTCTGCATGGCGCGTCGCAGGGCAGGGGGCGAGGGACGACGGGGAACGAGGGGGAACGAGGGGACGAAGGGACGGAGGGACGGAGGGGGTTTAACTATACTCCTTTGAGCCGAAACAATGACACCTCCTTGGGGAGCGTGTCGATGGCGTCTGCTTTGCGCGTCGCAGGGAATGGGGGTGAGAGACAACGAAGAACGAGGGGAGAGAGCGGGTGGGCGATGAGACAGGTGGGCTGGGCAGAAACGGGAGGACAGGGGATGATTATGAATTAGGTGTCGCGAGGGAAAGGAACATTGAAAATTAAGTAAAAAGGAAAGAGACAGGAAGGCAAGGAGAGAATGGGCGTGCGAACTTACCGCTGTAGTTTCTGACGACGTGTATTAGCCGCACGTGGTCGTGTCGCTTGCAGTAATTCCGGAGCGCCCAGTTGAACGCGAGCTCCGACCCTGCACACGGCGCGCACGAGAGAAGAGGCAGTAGGGGGAACGGCAAGAGCCACGCGGATCAACAACAGGATAGACCCAGACACAGAGGCGCGGATGATTAATGCGGCGGCGGATGAGGCAACAGGTCGCGTCGGGCGTGATTTCGTCGCACTCGGATAAGCATCAGCGATGCCGGAGGTAGGCATGAACGACATGAGGGCCACGGATCGCCTCGCAGCACGGCAGATCCTAGTCTGCACGCGTGCCTGTGTGCATTGTTGTCGGGAAACGGCGGATCGGCAGGAGAAGCGAAGCGTTGGAGGATCCACGGCGGTGCTCACCTTCGCTGTTATCGACGGCTATTAGGATCTCGCGACAGCTGCTGAAAAACGGCTCCATGCCTTCGCTCTCCTCTCCCTTTCGAGACACCTGTTCCTCCTCTTGATCTCCTCTTCTCCTCCTCTCTGGTCCTCGTCTCTGCTCCTCTCTGCTTCTCGGTGGTTGCAAGAGCCTTGAGCCGCTGACAAACACGATAAGTGCACAACTCCTACTTATCGACAGAACCTCAGAAGTCCTGAAAAGCGTAAACCCCCACTAAAACACCTTTCAGTATAGAAATGATGAGTCAACCTCTAGCAAACAAGAGTTATATTGGGCTCCCGCTGCACTGAAGACGTTCAAATCTGTCAGGAACGCTCGCTACTGGCTCTATATCGTCAATACCTCTACTTAGACGCGTGATGGGGATCGTAAAGGTAGGATGGACTCGAAGCACGATGGAATGTGCTGGCTGGGTGGGGTGGGACGACAGCTGATGACGATGTGGGAAGTCGAGGGAGCGCTTGTGGGTACGTGTCGATCTGCTCTGCGTGTCTACTTGTTTCGTCTCGCAACGTCAACTTAAGAACTGGAAGGGGATGAGGGGAAGTGTGTCCACGATGGTCAGTCGGGCCCTGACCTGATCACGAGGCATCTCAGCTTCCCGTCGCGCGTCAGTAGGTGCGTGGAATCTAGGTTCTCCCGTTTCCGTGTCAAGCGGGTCGTGTCGCGTCGTGTGGGCTGAGGCTGAAACTTGAGGATGACGGGGTGTGCTTCTGTACAGTCTCACGAATGTGGAAATAAAAGGGGAATAGTGGAAGCGGGCACCAGCAGGGGGAGGGATGATGGATGATTGATTGATGAGGGAACTTAAAGTTCGTTTAACGCTTTTTAGTACGTTCTGCCACGGTAAAGAGCGGTTTGTTACTCTCACCCCCTTACACCATGACGCACCAGAATGAACCACACAGAATTGGTTATTGGAATCGAACGAACATGACCCCCGCTGATTGGAGAACGCGTTGCGGGCAGTCAGTCATGCATGGTCAGTCACCCCCAATCACGAGAACATCCAAACAAGAGATGTAAAGGCAACGCGCCAAGTCCTGCGCTGACCGCGGTCCCGCAGGTTACAACAATCAAGCACGAGCGGGCGGTGAGTGGGGATCTGTGAGGTAGGGTACGGTGGAGAAGGGTGCGATAATGGTGATGGTAGGTTGGTTCAATGTCAGCCCACCTGCTGCTGGAGCGGTTGGTGCGACGCGGTCGCACCAGCGGTCCAATGAGGGTGCAAAAGTAACTGAAAGCTGAATTCAGAGGTCAGCGCACCAATACCGAATCCAACAAATTCATTCAAATATGACTGTGCAATCTCGGTGTCCGACGACTGTGCAAGAGCAGGCCCTATATTTCCAGCTGTGCAGGGTGCACCACGCTCAGAACCTATTTCAACCAAACATTCCCTCAACTATCCCCGCAAACTATCCTCGCTGTTGTTCCCCATCATCACATGCCCATACGAACCGCGGTTGCCACCGGCCTTTAAACGTTCCAAGGATCGCGACGCAGGTCCCAGCTTTTTGGGGCATCTGGGTGGAAAGTGGATTCATGCGCTGTACTCCAGCGAGGCAGGAGATTGTCATTTCCAGCCGCGAAGTGTGCAGCGCGTGCTATGCCCTTTGCTGCGTTGTCCTACTGACTCGGCACGGTCCGAGCTTCGTAGCGAGTTGGTAACATGACTCGCGAAGCCTGATGGCGTCGTTATCGAATCAGGAAGTCGCTGCAATACTTCACCACCATCCTACCCGAGACAATGCGCTCCGCGGTGATTTTTCAGGGACCCTTCGGAACGCTTCTGTACAATCAACCAAACCAGAGAGCCACAGGAACAACACACAGCAGCCCCCGATATAGAAATTAGATTGTTATGACGTCTCATATACAGAGATACCTTCAGAATGTTAAAAAAAGGGGCTGCCACTAGAATTACAATGATGATACAATAGAAGGCGGAATAGCCCTTCCCTTGAGCGAAGGGTATAGGGCTTGGGAGCGCTTGAAATCGTATATGTTTTCAATAACCTCCCTCCCCTCCTTGCTTGGTGCAGACGCCACCTCATCCTTTGTGCTACCAGACTCACTTGCTTCAACTACTGGGTTTACAGCACAGACAGGAGCAGCCTTGGCTGAGCCATTGACAGCAGGTTCAGGGGAGCTTTCCACTGCACAGGTTGTTGCTGCTTCCTCCGGTGCAGCTCCCTTCTCATGCCTCTGCACCTGTTGTGGTGTCGATAATCAGGACCACACAGGCAACACACAAAGGAAGACAAACCAGCAATGCATGTGTATCTTCATTATACACATAAATATTCATTTGACACGAGAGCAAGGGCAAGAGCACATGCACAACACTGAAAGCACACTCACAACAAGACGAGGGAAATCTGAAGGCTCTCATCCGATCTTCCCAGATCCCAAGGCTTACCTGCACACTCAGAAGCCTCCTATTGGGCGCGCCTTGCTTCACCACGGTGGCAAAGAAATGTGCCACGTGGGATGGGCGCAGCAAACGGAGCTCCGCCACCTGGCAGATGGGGTTGCGAGGAAACCAAAAGGGAGGGGAGAACAGCGCGGGAAAGCGTGGGGAGCGAAACAGATAACTTATTGCACCACGAGCGACAAGAGGGAGAGGTGGACGAGAACTGAGGAGGGATGAGACTTGGGGAATGTGAGACTGGAAGGTAGGGGCATGAGGGACAGGAGCACCAGGGGCAAAAATAGGGAATAACTACATTTTGGTTAATGCGGTCAAAGGCCATCATTACCTCCTGGTCAGCACGGTCAAAGGCCTTATTACCTCCTGGTCAACGCAGTCAAAGGCCTTATTACCTCTTGGTCAACGCGATCAAAGGCCTTATTACCTCTTGGTCAACGCGATCAACAGCCTTATTACCTCTTGGTCAACGCAGTCAAAGGCCTTACTACCTCCTGGTCAACGCGGTCAAAGGCCTTATTACCTCCTGGTCAACGCGGTCAAAGGCTTATTACCTCCTGGTCGACGCGGTCAAACGCCAGCATGGCGTCGTCGATCTCCTTCCACATCACATTCGCCTCCTCCACCAGATTCTTCTTCCTCTCCTGCTTCTTTGCCACCAGCGCCGCCACATGGGTCTGATCGGATTGGGCGCGGTGGAGTGTGGTGCGGGGTGTGGTGCAATGCGGTAGTCAATTCGAGGCCATCAACAGTAAAAGCAAGATGGGAAGTTTGACGTTGAAGGCAGAAGAAGACAAGAGATGCCACCCACCTGGAACTCCTCCTCGCTGATACCGGCCAGCTTGCTCTCTGCTGCCTGCAGAAACGCCTCCACCCGCCCGTCCAGGTCGCTCGCTGACTGCTCTCAGTTCAACCGGGAATGGTGGGGAGGAGTGGAGAGGGGTGGGGAGGGGTGCGGACCAAATCAGCGGCAAGGAGAGGTGGGTGATGAAAGGGAGTTGGGATGCTCTCTGCTGCCTGCAGAAACGCCTCCACCCGCCCATCCAGGTCGCTCGCTGACTGCTCCCATGTGGAGTGGTGCGGAGGGGTGGAGAGTGGTGGGAGGAAAGCAGGAGCAAGGAGAGAAGCAGAGGTGGGGGAGAAGGGTAGGTAGAGATAGCTGACCCTCCGCTGCCTGGGGAGGGGTGGGAGGGGTTTATGAGCTGGCATAAGGACCGACACATCGACTCCCTCACATGGCATGTGGACTGACAGCTGAGTGACACCGTTGTGGCACATGGCATGCAGATATGAAGTGGTAGTAGAAGACTGGCAAATAAACGGAAAGAGCACACGCCATTGCATGGGTGGGCAGATTGAGAATGAGAGTGCAACAGCAAGGATGAGAGGCGGGCGGGCGAGGGGAGAAACGTGCCTTGACGTTTGATTGGATGATGAAGGTGATGCCGTGAACTGCATTCTCGTTCCTGTGAGGGCATTCGGGCAGTGGAGCAACAAGGGATGGAGGAATGTTGGAAGTGGGAGCAGGCAAGGAGCGTGACACGTGGCGTGTGGCACATGGCGTGTGACACATGGCGTGTGACACATGGCGTGTGGCACATGGCGTGTGGCACGTGCACCATGCCATGAGAAGATTAAAGAGCACCCACCGAGATATGAGGAATACGATGTTCGACAGTTGCTGCACAGTGAGCAGCTCGAAATTCATGTCCCTCTCCAGCACCTGTACCAGCAGCTTTGCCAGCAGCTGTGCAGGCAGCAGCAGCAGCAGCAAACTCACCGAGACATGAGGAACACAATGTAGCCCAGTTGCTGCACAGTGCGCAGCTCGTAAAACACATCCCTCTCCAGCACCTGTACCAGCAGCTGCGCCACCACATGCGCTCGCACGCTCACCCCCCCTGCATCCCCACTCAGCTTCTCTGCGGTCAGCCCGCCGTTTGCGCTCTCTCCCTCCGCCTCTGGTGCCACCGCCTGCATCGCTTCCCCCGTGCCGGCTTCTCCCTTGCCGGCTGCCGGAGCTGCTGGCAGGACAACGGTCTCCCCGTCCTGGCACACCTGCAGTGCGGGAATGGAGGGATGGGAGAAAAGAGGAGGAGACAGTTAGTGTGCAGTGCAGGGGGATAAGATGGTGGTTGTCCACCGGGGAAACCCACTGTTCCCCCTCACCTGCCCACTGCCCCGACCTCATCCGCTTGCCTCGTCACCCCATCACATCCTCACGCCCGTCCCATTCACCGCTTCCCTTTCTGTCCCTCTCAACACCGCCCCTCTCACCTGCAGGGTAGAACACGAGGGCAGAGTTCTCGTCATCTGGGTTCAAGTTATCCCAAGCCAGCACAGCAGCACTGCCATTGCCCAGCCGCACCATGCGCAGCTCAGGCCGCTGAAACCCCATCGCCCAACCCACCTCCCCTCACCTCTCTCAATACCTCCTTACCTCTCAAATCCCCTCACCTGGAGATAAAACACAAGAGCAGAGTTCTCGTCATCTGGGTTCAAGTTATCCCCAGCCAGCACGGCAGCACTGCCATCCCCCAGCCGCACCATGCGCAGCTCAGGCCGCTGTGCGGGCACGGGGGGCTGTGCTGCTGCGATCGGGCTGGACCGGAGGCGAGACTCGGTCTCCTGGGCGAATGCTATTGCTGCTGTGGGGGCGATGTTGCCTGGAGGGACGAAGAAGGGAGAGGTTCAGTAAGGGGGAGGGTGAAAGGATAGGGAGCAGCTCAGGCCGCTGTGTGGGCGCAGGGGCTCTGACACTGCGATGGGGCTGGACCGCACGCGGGACTCGGTCTCCTGGGCGAAGGCTATTGCTGCCGGGGGGGCGATGTTGCCTGGAGGGGCGAGGGAGGGTGGAATTGCGGCTGGGTCTCCTGAGCAAAGATCATTGCAGCTAGCTGCCTGCATCACAGGCAAGATTCTGCACACAGCTGCAACTAAACCCTAAACCCTGAACCCAGGCATAGACTCGGTACCTGAGGCAAAGAGCTCAATGGAGACGTGGGAGAGCAGCGAGGGGAGGAAGGCGGAGAGGTGCTATGGCTGCAGCGCGGGCAGGCGGCGAGGTAGTCAAAAAAGTGCCAGCGCCGCGCCGGTGCGCCAGCAGCAGCGAACGAGAGGGCAAATGCGGTAGAGAGGCCGCAACTGAGGCAAGCAAGAAATACCTGAGGCGAAGAGCTCGAGGGAGACGTGGGAGAGTAGTGTGGGGAGGAACGCAGAGAGGTGCTCTGGCTGCAGCGCGGGCAGCGCGGCAAGGTAATCAGAGAAGTGCCAGCGGCGGTGCGCCAGCAGCAGTGACGTGGAGTAGAGGGCCTGCGCGTATGGCTGGTCGTAGCGGAAGTTTTTGAATTCCCGCTGCTCCTTCTCCTGTAAGTTGGGAGGAAGGACAGAGGGGCTTTGCACTGGTAACCACGGGAGCATAGCAGCAGTGACGTGGAGTAGAGGGCTTGCGCGTACGGCTGGTCGTAACGGAAATTCTCAAACTCGCGCTGCTCCTTCTCCTGTAAATGGGAAGTGGGAACAGTGCAGCAGCAGTGAGGTGGAGTAGAGCGCCTGTGCGTATGGCTGGTCGTAGCGAAAGTTTTCAAACTCGCGCTGCTCCTTCTCCTGTAGGACAAGGCGTGGGAGAGGGGGATGGAGGGGGGAGATGAGCGTGGAGAGAGGAAGATCGCTTCTCGCATAGAACTAGAGAAATATGTTATGACGTGGATAGGAACCTTGATGACGTGGAAACCCACCTTGATGACGTGGAAGCGGTCGGCATCAACAGTGTAGGTGACGAGACGGTCGATGATCTTAGACACGAGCACTAGCAGCTTGTGGCTGTACCCCCACGCTGAAATTTGAATGCCATGCACGCTCGGCACGATAGAATAGTTGAGCCCAGCGATCTCAGCATCGTACGCTGCACATGGTGGTATGGCAGGTGGTGGTGCGCAGAGGGCAGTGCGGGGAAAGGGAAACGGGTGGAAGGGCAGGAGAAAAGCGAAGGAGAGAGGAAAGGGAAGGTGCACGATTGAGTAGTTGAGCCCAACGATCTCAGCATCGTATGCTGCACATGGGGGTGGGCAGGGGAACAAGGATATGTTGTGACAGGGAGAAGACGAAAAAAGAGGGAAGGAAACGATAAGGGAGGCGTGAAGGGGAGGGAAGGGGCGGTAGACGGGAAATCAGGCACACGAGAGGGGTGAGGAAGAGGGAACCAGACGAGATAGAGTATACGGGAAGATTTTGAGTTGACTCAATGTCCCATACACTCTGCAACGTACCATACGCGTTGAGGGCATCTTGCAGCAGCGAAGCGAAGAGGCGGGTGAGGAGGGCAGAGCGGGGGGAGGTGTAGGCTTCAGGTGAGGCGAGTTGCATGAATAGCACGGCCTTGGGCAGGCCAAACAGCGTGTCTGGCTTGTGCCATAGGCGCAGCATGGGTGTGCTGTGGATGACTGTCGGGGAGGACACCTGGATAGTGCATCACAGTGGGGTGGGAGCGCATGTAATTATGAGAAGCTGCATGAATAGCACAGCCTTGGGCAGGCCAAAGAGCGTCTGGCTTGTGCCACAGACGCAGCATTGGGGTGCTGTGGATGACCGTGGGGGAGGAGATCTGCACGCGGGTCACATGTGGGGGGTGGAAGGGAAAAGGAAGGATCCTGCTGAGTCAACTCAAGCCCGAAGAGCGTGTCAGGCTTGTGCCACAGACGCAGCATTGGGGTGCTGTGGATGACTGTGGGGGGGGAGACCTGCACACGCGTCACATCGAATGGAAGGGAGGGGCGATTTATAAATGAACATACTCAAAAGGCCAAGGAGAGTGTCAGGCTGCTTGTGGAGACGGAGCGTTGGCTCAGGGATGAACAGTTAGCGTTTGGGATTTAGAGTGCGCGCCTTGCCAGTGGGCGGTGTGAGAACATCCAGGTCAGTGGGCACAAACTCGTTGGGTGCTGGCAGATGCAGCTCGCTGCTGCTCCCACCATCCCCTGCCGCAGCTGTTGCACTGTCACTGGGTGAAGAAGCAGCAGCAGCAGCAGCAGCAGGAGCAGCCACGGCAGCGGGCACAGGAGGCGTGGAGGCAGGTGGTGCAAGAGCAGCATCAGGAGCAGCTGTGATTGCATCCCTCCAACGCTGCAAAAGGAGGGAGACAACGAGAGAGAGGGAGAAAGAAGTAAGCAAAACAGCGAAGAAAGAACCGCGAAACTTCACAATTTCACAAAGCGTTCTTCCCAACCTCTGTTGTTCCCCACGAGGGGCTCCCCCTTTGGCATTCGCTGCTTTATGATTCATTCTGTTGACCCAAACATTGATACCCCACCCGCTGCCGCCCCTCACCTGCAGCAAGTCGTCTGGAATGGTCTGGGCGGAGTGCTTTGTCTTGTACCAGCGCTCCTCCTCTGTTGCCTCCGCCTCAAACTTTTTCGACAGCCAAAAGACCCTGAGCGTGCGGTGGAGGGGAGGAATGACACAAAAGGTGAAGGGGGGAAGTGTTTTTGAGGCGCCTAAAATTTTTCTTCAGCCTCAAATTTTTTTGACAGCCAGAAGACCCTGAGCGTGCGGTGGATGGGGAAGAGAGGGACAAAAGGGGCGGATGGGGGAAGTGTGATAAAGAGGAAAGGGTGGAAAGCGAATAGTGTGAACTATCAGATTGGAGCACGGAGCACCGGATTGCAACGACGAACACCAACTTGGATCAAGGGACACCTGATTGAAAAAAGGAGCAGCAGGTGGGTGCACGTGCGCGCACGCATGCATGCACGCACACGCACACACACACACACACACACACACACACACACACACGCACACACACACGCACACACACACACACACACACACACACACACACGCACACACACACACACACACTCACACACACACACACACACGCGCGCGCGCGCATGCACGCACGCACGCACGCACGCACACACGCACGCACACAAACACACTCACTGCACGTTGTCGGGAGTGAGCGCTTTGGCCAGGTCAGCTAGGGCATTGGGGTCGAAGTCCCTAGGCAGAGAGGCCCCTGCTAGCCAGTCCTCCCTCGGGTATAGCTGTGTGCATGGGGATGGGGTTGGTGGCGGAAAGGGGAGAAAGGGAGGGGTTGAGGGGTGAGGGGTGAAAAGGGTAGGGTTGGAAAGGTGAGAGGCCCCTGCTAGCCAGTCCTCCCTTGGGTATAGCTGCGTGCATGGGAGGGCGACGGGCGATGGAGGAGGGAGAGGGAGAGGGGTTGAGGGTTTAGGGGTGAAAGGGGAAGGGCGGAAAAGGTGAGAGGCGCCTGCTAGTTGGTCCACCCATGGGTACAGCTGCACATGAGGGTGTTGAGTGGGGTGGGGGGGGTTTGGGAGGGGTGAGAGGCAGAGGGCCAGGTATAGAGAGGGGCACGCTAGTCATGTAATAGTATACAATAAACGCACATCCCTAGTACATGTGCCTGTCCACAATAGTGCGGAAACTAGTTGAATGTATGTGCAAAGCGACGATGGGGCGGAAGTAAGGATGCTCACCTGCATGCCAGCAGCAATGGCAGAGGTGTAGAAGAAGGGCTGCTGCTTGTCCTGGAAGTGGAACTTGGTGGAACACACTGCTGCCAGCTGTGGCACATCATGCAACGGTGGAAGGGTGGGAGGGAAGGGAAAGAGAGAGAACGAGACAAAAATGGCATGAGGGTATGGTGGTGAAGAGGAGGGTGGAAGGTAGAATCTTCAGCGTATCCCAGCAAAACACTTCATTTACTCGCAGCAGCACCCATCAGCACCCATTAGCACCCATTAGCACCCATTAGCACCCATCATTTTGAAAGTGATGGAATTAAGTTTGGGACATCGCAAAGCTCATCTCACTGCCACCCAGCTCTGTAATCAAACCTCGATGTTTTACAGATGTCACAAACGCAACGAGTCCCTATGGGCACATCACAGTACCTCATCAAAGATCCACTTCTGAATGCCCTGGCCGCTCTGGATGAGCCCGATGTAGCGAAACACCAGCTCCGCCACCTCCATTGCGTGCTCTGGTGTGAAGGGGATGATGGGTGATAAAAGGGTCAAAATGGGATGGCATGGGGCATGAGGCATGGGGCATGGGCATGGGGCATGAGGCATGGGGCATGGGCATGGGCATGGGGCATGGGGCATGGGCATGGGGAATGAGGCATGGGCATGGGCATGGGCATGGGGCATGAGGCATGGGGCATGGGCATGGGGCATGAGGCATGGGGCATGGGCATGGGCATGGGGCATGGGGCATGGGCATGGGGAATGAGGCATGGGCATGGGCATGGGCATGGGGCATGAGGCATGGGGCATGGGCATGAGCATGGGCATGGGCATGGGCATGGGGCATGAGGCATGGGGCATGGGCATGGGCATGGGGCATGAGGAATGGGGCATGGGCATGGGCATGGGCATGGGCATGGGGCATGAGGCATGGGGCATGGGCATGGGCGGAACACCAGCTCCGCCACCTCCATGGCGTGCTCTGGTGTGGTTGGGAGGACAAAATGCCAGAGATTGAGACGGCACGGAGCATGAACGAGGATTCTGGGCCCTGGGACCTTGCGAAGGACCAATTTACTTGCAGAATGCAGTGCAGATAGCACGAGGCACTCACCATGGCCCAGGTCGGTCAGATCAATGTTGACAGCAAAGAAGGCGTAGTGCTTGCTGCTGTGGCTGCGCCCTGCTCCCAGCGCCGTGGCCCAGCCTGCCAGGCATCACGTTAACAGATGGGAGGGGAGAGGGGTGATTGTTGAGGGGACAAAGAGAGAGCAGATTGTGACACAGCGGAACGGTGACTGCGCCCTGCCCCCAGCGCCGTGGCCCAGCCTGCCGGACACCGCGTTAACAGATGCGGGAGCACAGAGGAGCACGTTCAAGGGAAGGGTAGAAGGGTGCAGCAACCAAGTGAAAGCAGGTTACAGTAACGAACAGAGGCCAAGATGATGCGTCCATACCCTCCCTCCCCCCCGTCCCACCTTTCTTCTTGAGCAGTGCAAAGAGCGACCCATGCCCCTCATGGCCGATGAGGTGCCCCAGGTAGCGCGTGGGTGTGGCAAGGTGCAGGTGCTGGTCGGCCGGTGTGGGCCAAATAAGCTCCAGCTTGTGCCCCTCCGCCACTGGCACTGCCCGCACTAGCTTCTGTGGGCGGGTGGGGACAGGGAGAGCAGGTGGTAGAATGCAAGTGGTGTGGGAGGAGGGAGTGCATGTAGGCATGTGGAAAGAGGGAGCTGGGGTGGGCCACACGAGCTCCAGCTTGTGTCCCTCTGCCACTTGTACTGCCCGCACTAGCTTCTGCCGGGGGTGAGGCAGGGGAGAATGCCATGGGGGGTAGGATGCTGGAAATGAAACAAGCCCTGGGTGATGGAAGGACAGGCTTTGGTTAAGCGACCTTGCATACTGCTGCTGCTTGCTTTCTTCATGACAAGTAATATGACCTAAACGCATCAGAGAGCACCTCAGTGTGCTCTAATCTACAGCGCGGGGCCTGCATGGGATTGTGGCCGTGGATTATTGCAATGCTGGTTTCCATGCCCGGTAACCTAGAGGTACCGCACCGCACCTTGGTGTATTCTGGGCCGCAGGGGTCGGCAGGGATGCGAGGCTGCTGCAGCGCCTTGTTGGGGATGAGGGTGAAGCGACTCTCCACCATGGCCCGCAGCGAGGAGAGAGAATCTGAGGGCGGGGAGCAAGGGTTGGTTTGGGAATAGTTATAAACGGAGCGAACAGAGAGAGTCCGAGGCTGGAGGGAGGGAGTGTTTGGAAGCGCCTTGTTGGGGATGAGGGTGAAGCGACTCTCCACCATGGCCCGCAGCGATGCCAGGGAGTATGAAGAGGGGGCGGGGGAAGGGGCGGGACTGGGAGTGCTGAAGGCACCGCAGGAGTCGGCCGGGATGTCAGGCTGCTGCAGCGCGGGCGTGAGAAGCAGAGTTCGAAGGGCGGACAAGGGAGGGCGGGAGGTGGGGTCGTGGAATCGAAGGGCGGAAGCAGGAAACAGGGTTTTTTTTTATTTGAATGATATACTCAGCTGATAGACTGGCCCAGCACAAGCACGACAAAATTACCACACAGCACATGCACCCCTGTGGTGTGCCCGCACCACAGAGCACTGCACGCACCTTTGCCATAGACCACGAGGTGCATGAGGTTAGCGGAGTAGTACTTGTCATAGAAGGCGATCAGCTCCTGCCGAATGTCCCTCCCACTCGCCTCTGGCACCTCCTTGAGCGTCTCTAGGGATCCTGTTGTTCCCATCACGTGCCATGCCATGCCATGCCATACCACGGGAGCATCGATCCATCCCCAGTGGACATGCGCGCATGCATCAGGGTCAACAATGAGAATGCTCAGTGAAAATGCGCAGGTCAGTGGCATGGCGTGTATGCATCAAGGATGGTAGACTCGAAGGCACGAGACACGGACGAAATACATCGGTACAGCATGGAGCATGGGGCAGGGAGCATGGAACATGGGTTAACGTAGCTGGAGAGAGAGACTGACCAACGTTGAATTTGTAGAAGGGGTGCTGGGGCGAACAGAAGCTCTTTTGAAGCTGCCAGAGGGAGTGGGTTGAGTTGAACGAGAATCGGGAAAGATCAAACGACGTTAAACGGTGAGAGGCAGGAAGAGCATCACACTCAACAAAGAACAGGGGCATGTTTCAAGTGCACAGGAACACTTATGAACCTGACCGTTGTTGCACAGTGACAACTAGAATGAGGTGCTGCGCTCCCCTTGCCACTGTGTGTTTTCTGTGTGTTTTCTGTGTGTCGTACCTGGTTGATCCGCCAGGGGTCGGAAATCAGGTTCTTGGTGTGCTCTGAGGAGTAAACAGGGCGGAAGAACGAATCACAAGGGTGCAAAAGAGACTTGTGGCATGAGCGGAGAATGCAGCTTGGCACCTGAGTGTATACTGCACTAGTCCCTCAACCCAAATGGCAACATCAGCAGACATGCATCTTGTAACAACGCCTCTGTACCTGAGTGAACCGCATTGATTTCGCGGTTGGTGGCATCTGCTGACATGAGCGGGCAGATGAAGAACTGTGCGAACCTGCCATCACAAGGTATTTCGAACAAAACAGAGTATAAAAAAGCAGAAACAAAAACAGAAACAGAAAAACGCCATTGTCATTCTCTAGGGCCCTTGTCATATGAGGAACGAGTGCTGTACCTAAAGCCTTGACTCCAACCCCTCAAGCCCTTACAACTTAGCCATGAAAAACTTACCACCGACATGTAAAGCCTGTAAATTCCAGCCTGCGAAGCCCTCACCACCAATCTCTGAAGCCCTTCTGACCTACCATACCTGTGGAGGCCTTACTATAAGGCAGTTATGAAGCCCTCTTATGACCACCCACCTGTCAAGCGCTTCATCCAGGAACTCAGCCGCGACGTCGAACTGGTAGTTGGTGTTTTCTGCTGCCGTATACGCGTTGGAGCGGCCGCTGTGCTGTTGGAGCGGCACACACGAGCAGCAGAGTAAAGGGGAACAAGAGTCGGTTCAACAGTCTGCAGCGCTCACAGCAGCAGAGGGGAACGACAGGACGAATGAGCTGACTCCAAAAGCATCTAGGCATCGATACGAGAGGGGGCCACGGAGGGGCGTTACCTTGTTGAGAAAGTCACTGTAGCTGTCCTCGATAGGGTACTTTTCGCTAGCATAGAAGAGCATGTGCTCTGCCACAGGGAGAAACGGATGTGAGGAACGCGAGAATTCAGCAGATTTCGCAGAATGATCAGAAAAACGGCGATTTCTTCTCCATGGGGAACGCGCAAAGTCATTCAGGAACGCGCGAACTTCACCCACCTAGGAAGTGAGCGAGGCCTGGCGCGTCGTCCGGATCGCTGAGCGACCCCACTCCCACATCCATGGCCGCCGCAGCCTGCAGCAGCACAGCGCAGACGAAATAATGGAAAAGCTCTTTGAGAATCATCACGAAAAGAAGCTGCCTTGGACGGAAACGAAAGCGTCATCCTAGACCGGATCCGCAATCTCGACCTGCTCTGCGTATGATCGGCACGCTCGAAGTGTAACACACTAGAAATTGCCGTTGACACCCTAAAGCTGGATTTGCACCAAAGAAGGATCAGGTTGAAAGCGTGTACGGGCCTGACGGGCTATCTCGAACGCAGATTCAGGTCTGAACAACAAGGCAGGACTGACTATAACGCGTTCGTTTCGCGGGAATTTACAGCTCCGATACGCGCAATACGGAGAGACACACCTTGTCGGTTTCAGGATCCGATATAAGCAGCACGGTGAGCCCGTTCGGTAGTTCCAGCGCCTCGTACTGCCGCTTGTCGCACCTAGGAATCAAAATACCGCTGCCATTGCTGCTGTCAGGACTCCTGCTCTCGACGCTACCACTCAACGGCGCTCCGTGCGGCGGCATCTCGCCTCTAGAAGTTGACTGGCCGCTACTGACGGTATCGCTGCTACCCGCTGTCTGGCTGGCGCTAGAGACGGAAAGCAAAGTGAGTGCGACTATTGCCGTCAGGCAGACGAGAATGGGAGATCTGAAGGGACGAGATGCCATGACAATGGATTTGCTGCACTCACTGCAGGGAAAGTGGCTCTCCGAATTCCAGCAGGCGGCCAGCAGCGAGGGAGTGCCAGCATTCTCGAGGTTCGTTGAAATCCTTGCACGAAATAAGCCGCATAAACATTATTTCTTCAGTCCTATTATTGTTCTTTACATTGTACTAAAAAAACGTAGCACAGGCTCTTTTCATTGAACATAATGATATCTGTAACACGAAAAAATCATATGCATAGTGTTGATGGAAGAACCACCTAGGGAGCAACCTCAAGCAGCGAGGGCTCATAGCCCTCAGGAGCCTCGAATCCGAGAAGGTTCATGAAAGTGGCCGTGACGTTGGCAAGGCCTGCATTCGGCATGTCCTGGCGGAACCTGATGTTAGCTGGCAGCCCTGGACCACCGATGGCAATAGGAACCTGCAGAAGAGTCGAACACAGTGAGCAATGACGTCCGCACAGAGGATGAGAAAGGGCAAAGAGACTCCACTCCTCCGGGAAACAAGCCACACAAACGTGCAAGGAGAGGGGAATGTGGGCCTCTACTCGGCAGGTCAAACACTGAGCGTTGTCAGAATGCATGCCGTAGTGTAGGTGGATGCAAGGGAAATGGAAATCGAATCGAAGGCAAATGGGTGAAATATCATATCCAGGCACGTACGGGAGCGAGGGTGTGCCAGGTGAGGGGCTCTGGCTTGCCGTCGGGGCCAAGGATGGGCTGGTGGGTCTTGCTGTTGCGCTGCACCATGTCATCGCATTGAGGCACGTACCGGGGCGAGCGTATGTGAGGTGAGGGGCTCTGGCTTGCCATCCGGGCCAAGGATGGGCTGGTGGGTCTTGCTGTTGCGCTGCACCATGTCATCGCATTGAGGCACGTACCGGGGCGAGCGTATGTGAGGTGAGGGGCTCTGGCTTGCCATCCGGGCCAAGGATGGGCTGGTGGGTCTTGCTGTTGCGCTGCACCATGTCATCGCATTGAGGCACGTACCGGGGCGAGCGTATGTGAGGTGAGGGGCTCTGGCTTGCCATCCGGGCCAAGGATGGGCTGGTGGGTCTTGCTGTTGCGCTGCACCATGTCATCGCATTGAGGCACGTACCGGGGCGAGCGTATGTGAGGTGAGGGGCTCTGGCTTGCCATCCGGGCCAAGGATGGGCTGGTGGGTCTTGCTGTTGCGCTGCACCATGTCATCGCATTGAGGCACGTACCGGGGCGAGCGTATGTGAGGTGAGGGGCTCTGGCTTGCCATCCGGGCCAAGGATGGGCTGGTGGGTCTTGCTGTTGCGCTGCACCATGTCATCGCATTGAGGCACGTACCGGGGCGAGCGTATGTGAGGTGAGGGGCTCTGGCTTGCCATCCGGGCCAAGGATGGGCTGGTGGGTCTTGCTGTTGCGCTGCACCATGTCATCGCATTGAGGCACGTACCGGGGCGAGCGTATGTGAGGTGAGGGGCTCTGGCTTGCCATCCGGGCCAAGGATGGGCTGGTGGGTCTTGCTGTTGCGCTGCACCATGTCATCGCATTGAGGCACGTACCGGGGCGAGCGTATGTGAGGTGAGGGGCTCTGGCTTGCCATCCGGGCCAAGGATGGGCTGGTGGGTCTTGCTGTTGCGCTGCACCATGTCATCGCATTGAGGCACGTACCGGGGCGAGCGTATGTGAGGTGAGGGGCTCTGGCTTGCCATCCGGGCCAAGGATGGGCTGGTGGGTCTTGCTGTTGCGCTGCACCATGTCATCGCAGTTCCCATGGTCCGCTGTCAGACAATAGATGCCACCCACCTGCTCCACCGCCTCCAGCAGCTCCTGAAAAGGGGCAGGGCGTCAGGGGGAGAATGTGGGGGGAGAATGTGGGGGAAGAATGCAAGCAGGAGCAGAGAGTGGGAATATGAGCAAGGTGATGAGGAAGTGCAAGGGAAGCAGGGAAGCGTGCAAGTGCCACACGGACACCAGCCACCCTTCCCTCCTCCCCACTCCCATGCCCAGTGCTCCACACCCTCACACGCCTCCAGCACAGCATCAACCACACCCATGTGCCCCACACCCCAGGCTCCATACTCCATGCCCCTCACCTCAAGTCTCAGGCCCTCACACTCACCTTGACACTGCCGTCCACGGCTTCACAGGCCTCCAGCACAGCGTCAAACACGCCCGTGAGCCCCAGCCCCTGTATCCCACATCCCATACCTTCCTCTCCTCCCCATTCCCCTCACTTCAACAGACTCACCATGCCCCACACACCTGCCCCATACCCCATGCCCCACAGCAAATGCCGCACATTCCACCCCTTCCCCTTGATGCTCCCATCCATCATCATCTCACCTTGACACTGCCGTCCACAGCCTCGCAGGCCTCCAGCACGGCGTCAAACACGCCCGTGTGCCCCACCATGTCGCCATTCGCCCCACACCCCGTGCCCCAAACTCCCTCCCACATCCCGTGCGCCTCACTTCACTGCTCCCATCCATCATCTCACCTTGACACTGCCGTCCACGGCTTCACAGGCCGCCAGAACAGCGTCAAACACGCCCGTGTGCCCCACACTCTCCCCTCCCCCATGCCCCATGCCCCTGACATGATGCTCCCATCCACAGTCTCACCTTGACACTGCCGTCAACAGCCTCGCAGGCCTCCAGAACAGCGTCAAACACACCCGTGTGCCCCACCATGTCGCCATTCGCCAGGTTCAGCCGAATGTAGTCGTACTTCCCTGACAGAATCGCCTCCTTGCACGCCTCCCAACCAGCCCTCTACCCGCACCCTTTCCTCCCTCCCTTCTCCCATGCCTAAGCCCCGTGCCCCACACCCAGTGCCTCATACTCAGCCTCCCACCCCACGCACCATGCCCCTCACTTTGCCTCACCTTGACACTGCTGTCAACAGCCTCGCAGGCCTCCAGCACAGCGTCAAACACGCCCGTGTGCCCCACCATGTCGCCATTCGCCAGGTTCAGCCGAATGTAGTCATACTTCCCCGACAGAATCGCCTCCTTGCACGCGGCGGCGATCTCCCTGGCCTTCATCTTGGGCTTCTCGTTGAAGGGGCACTTGTCGCTGGGCACCTCATAGTAGGTTTCGAGTTCGTCGTCCAGCTTGCCCGACCGGTTGCCGTTCCAAAAGAACGTCACGTGCCCAAACTTCTGCGTCTCACTGCGTGGGGTGATGGGTGGAAGGCGAATGGGGCAGGGGAGGAGACACGGAAGAGGGAGGGGACGAAGGAGGGGATGAAGGAGGGGATGAGAGAGCGGGGAGGCAATGAGGGAGGGGATGAGGGAGGGCAGGAGTGAGAGGAGGGGGGAGGGCATGGAGGGAGGGGTTGCACTCCACAGCAATTTCCCAGAATTTCATGGGGAACCTGCTGGTTCAAGGGGCACTGTCGCTGGGTAACTTAATATATGCCTGAGACTTTGTTTCCCAAAACTTCTCCCCCAAACCCTGAACCGTTAGAATTCTCGCACGTTCTGACCTGCATGCGAAGCTGCGCACACAGTTCTTTCCAAGTTACAGTAAAAGTCAATTCTTCGAATACCATTTTTGAGACGTCTCAAATATCGCCTCCTGATATCACTCCCAAATCCCCTCCACCGCACTGCCCCCCAGCAATGCTGACCTGCATGCGTAGGTGCGCACGCCGTTCTTAACGAGGTACTGCCCGGAGGTGTTTTCGATGACGGGCGGCGCGACGAGGAATTTCGCGGGCAGCTTGAGGTCGCCGTCGTACTGCATCATGCCCGCGAAGTGCACCTTGGGCACGCGGATGCGGTCGAACTGATGGAAGTCCGGGTACTCAAAGGCCTTGGAGATCTGTAAGGGTTGGATGGGAGAGGAGGATGGAGGGGAGAGGAGGATGGAGCAAGGGAAGGAAGGTGAGGGAGTGAACAGACCACATCAGGCACCTTGGGCACGCGCACGCGGTCGAACTGATGGAAGTCGGGGTACTCAAAGGCCTTGGAGATCTGAGAGGGGTGTGAGTGGAGACAGAGGGAGGATGGCGCAGGGGAGGGAAATGAAGGTGAGAGTGTGAATAGAGAGCGACAGGCACCTTGGGCACGCGCACGCGGTCGAACTGGTGGAAGTCGGGGTACTCAAAGGCCTTGGAGATCTGGAACACGGGAAGAGGTTGAAATGGGGCAAGGGAGTGATTGGAATAATAATGGAGTGAGGGGAAGCGGCAGGCAGACACCTTGGCCACCCTCACGCGGTCAAACTGGTGGAAGTCCGGGTTCTCGAATGCCTTCGGGATTTCGAGGGGGTGGGAGAGGGGACGGGAGGAGGATGGGGCAGGAGAGGGAAGGTGAGACCACATCAGGTTCCGAAGGCACCCGCACGCAGTCAAACGGAGTTCTGGAACGCGATCAGGCTCAGAAATTGCAATCCGTCTCACCTGAATCACGCGATCAGCGCGGAAGTTCCAGATGACGACCGCGTCGCCGTCCAGAACCGGTCCCACGGGCTTCCCCTCGTCGTCCACGATCACCCACGGCGGGTAGTACTGGTCGTTCACGCTCGGGTCGTCCTCCTTGATCTTCTTGAGCGCCTCGAGAGCCGACTTAAACTTGAACGGCGCGTCGCCCAGCACGTGCGCGTGCCACCCGCGCTCCACGATCTTCCAGTCCGCCTGCGGAGGGGGAGGATAAACGGGGAACGGGGAAAGGAGAGGGGGAGAAGTTGGAGTGGGAGGGTAGAATTACGGTTTGGAGCCTCTCGCAAGTCCCACACGTGCGCGGGGCACCCGCGCTCCAGAATTTTAGTCGTCCAGGGAGCGGCGCAAGACACACGAGATCTTTCAGACACGACAATTCCCTTCTAGTCATGTCTGTACTACTCTCTCCTCGTCGCCATTCAACTAAGTCAAATCTCCCTCTCCTAAACCTTATGTTTGATATTCTTCCCAGTGCTCTGATTTCATCCTTTCACGTGACCGATATTCTGCATTCCGAGAAGAAACGTTAGGACCACCAGTGACCACCGCTCACCTCGTAGCGGTCCATGGTGACGCGCATGCGGCCGCCACCAGACGCGATCCGGGCATCGCAGCCCTGCGCGCGCAGCAGCTCGAGGTCCTTCTCCAGCTGCGCCACGAACTCAACAGTCAACTCACCACCACTCACCACCACTCACCACCACTGACCACCACATACCACCACTCACCTCGTAGCGATCCATGGTGACGCGCATGCGCCCGCCGCCAGATGCGATCTTGGCGTCGCAGCCCTGAGCGCGCAGCAGCTCGAGGTCCTTCTCCAGCTGCGCCACGAACTGCAGCGACGACCCGTCCGGCACATCGCGACCGTCCGTCAGCACGTGCACGCGCACGCGCTTCGCGCCGCGCTCCCACGCGCCGTGGATGGTGCCGATCACCTGGTCGTAGCGCGAGTGCACGCCGCCGTCGCTGCGACACACGCCGGAGAGAACGGAAGAGATGGAACATAAGGATGAGACGCCAACGGAAACTGACGAGCCAAGGGAATTTTAACAGATCGGAGGACAAGGAACTGACGGATCTGTTGGATCTTCAAGAACGCCGAAACCGATGGACAGAGATTCTTGCGTGACAGATCGCGTGCTGACCTGAGCAGGCCAATCATGTGGAGCGTGCCGCCGTTGTCCCACGCCTCCTTGACGTAGTTAAAGCCCTCGCTCTTGAACATGTCGCCCGTCTCGAGCGCGGCGTCCACCAGCGCGGCTCTGTAAGGAGGCACAGAGGGGAAAGACGAACGACTTCATGAACGGCGGGGGATTCAACGAGGGACAAAAGATGCAACGAGCGACGAAAGATTCAATGAGCGACGCAAGATTCAATGAGCGACGCAAGATTCAATGAGCGACGCAAGATTCAATGAGCGACGCAAGATTCAATGAGCGACGCAAGATTCAATGAGCGACGCAAAATTCAATGAGCGACGCAAGATTCAATGAGCGACGCAAGATTCAATGAGCGACGCAAGATTCAATGAGCGACGCAAGTTTCAATGAGCGACGCAAGATTCATAGAAAAGCGAAGAATTCACACGAAAGACAAAAGGATCGGATGATAACGAACAAAACTGTCAGGCTGCGAGAATGTAACATCAGATTTCCCGTTATAATGAACGGATCTGGCGATTCGGGCGGTAACAAGGCACCAATGGCACCGACTCCCTGTCCCAGCACTCACGCACCCCTGGTTAATGACCTTCCCCGCGCCCATGGCGTTGTGCCCGACTTCCGAGTTCCCCATGTCGCCGTCGCTCGGCAGCCCCACGGCCTTGCCGTGCGCCTTGATCGTGCGCCAGCGGTTGGGGCGGTTCTCGCGCAGCGCCTTGATGTGCGGGCAGTTGCCCTTGTAGATAGCGTTATAGTCGTCCTCGATATTCTCTCCCCATCCGTCGAGGATCATAAGCACGAGCGGCTTCCCGCGGGGAATCACGGGATGCGGCTTCAGCTCCCATTTGTCCTCGTTCACCATGGTTCTGGCGATTAGATCTCGCGGAGGAAGCGGAGGAGTGAGCGCGGGAGACGGAGAAACGTATCGCTCGCTCGCTCCTACGCGACTGGAGAGCCGAGGTGATGTGAGGAGAGGGAGAGCAGCGAGAGCTGAAGTCTTGATCTGAGAATGAGTGAAGCAGAGGCGACGAGCTTTATGGCGCAGCAGAGCAAGCATTGGGAGACTGCCGCGCGCAAAAGGATATTCCCATCCCAAGGTTGGCTGGCTTTGCCTCTTTTTCCCCGTAGCGTTTGCGCACGCGGAAACGGATTCTTGAATCTGACAGGCAGAATGAGGCAGGCGGAGGTCGGATTTCATCATGTCGGAGAATGGGGGGAAGCGGGGGTGAATGATGGGTTTCGCGAAGTCTGACAATGTTTGCGAAATCTGTACGATGAAAGGATACCTGCTCGGCGACATGCGAGAAAGTGCAACCGATGGCTGGGAGAAGCCGATCGGCTTGGGCAATTCGCGATATCTGGAGATATGCCTTCGCGAAACAGACAGTCAAGTGACTGAACCCTTTTCAGCATTCTTCGAATGCAATTCAAGTATTCATAACATCATACACTCGATAGATTTAGAAACGGTACTGCCATGATCAAGATGAGACTACTTCCTCTTTTCCAATCTCTAGTCTCGGAATCATTCCCGTGGCGCGTCTTTCATGCCATAGTGGCCCTTGGCTCATGATCTTCATAGGTTGAAAAGCATGAGCGTTCTTCCGTCACAAACTTGCTAGTAGTCGTCAGGCAAACTAACTTGTCCATTGATTAGCTTCGAACACGACGATATTGCGTGTCAAACGCTGCGCATTCGCGAAAATGCTGATTCATCCAACGCATTGACAACGGTCAACACCATGATCAGCGTCAGGAATGCATTAATCAAGTCGAGGACGACTCTTTGAACGTTCTCTACGGTGGGTAGAGCGTCATAGCTAAGAGAGCCGATAATCCAAAGCGAGCCGGCGAAGCAATCAAGCAATCAGCAGCGGCGATTAGAGATCAGAGGCGATCAGCATCAAGTGATTAGAGATCAGCAGCGATCCGCGATCAGCATCAGGAGCATTAGTTAGCGGGCGAGGCGCGATGTGCATCGGATTCTGCACCGGCTGCTGCTTTCGCCTTTACCGCTTTGGGTCACTGCCTCTGCTCCTGCTTCTCCTTCGGCCCGTCGCGCGTCGCGGCGAAGTTCTTATATGGAGGGATGTTCCTGGCCTCCGTTGCTGTAGCGTGGGTGCTTAGAGACTCCGTTGCCGTTGCCACCAATGCACTCTACAATCTCTACAGTGAGTGCGGTCCGCACAAAATTCGGAGCTAATCATATTGATTCATTCATTGGAATGCTGTGGTGGTAACAACGTTCCTGTATCCCGTATCCTAGCATTGCGAAGAAAAGCCACATTCCGTTCGTCACACACACGCTGGTACCGTCATTGAGGTGAGCCGTGCATTTCAAGGTGAGCCGTCCATCCCAAGGTGAGCCTGCATCCCAAAGTGAGCATTGCTAATATGTCCGTGGGTCACATTCAGCTCGTTTATTCACGCTCGCCATCTCTGTCCAACCCAGACTGTTCTTGCGCGATGCTACATAGCCCGATGCTGCATACTTAAATCAATCACGTGATGCAAAATAGTTGTAAGAATCTAGACTGTACGTCACCTGGTAACCGCCTATCCCGCTTGCATGCATCTGCATCTGTATGTGTGTATGCAGGTGGACGCAGGGTCGCTCACCACAGGCGCCATGGCGGTGTATTTCGTCTTACTCTGCTGGTCGGCAATCATGAGTGAGCCGCCTGCCGAGGCATGCAACACTCGCCCTCGCCAGACCGCATACAGCTGGTGGCTTGATATTCTGGTGAGAACGCCCCAACTTGTATTGTCTACCGCTGTTGTACGCTTCTTATTCATGCTTCATCAAATGATGTGCATACATCCAGCCCCCAGCCAAGCATCTTTCCCAACCCACAAACTGGTACTTGTCCTTCATTCTTTGTTCCCTTCACCATCCCTTTTGTTCCTTTCAGGCATTCATAGTGGTGCTCGTCAGCGTTGCCATCTCAGTCTGTGCCACTGGCATCGACTCTCGCTGCTTCTCCCTCCGCCCTGGCTGTCAATACAAAGAAATCGCCGGGAACGGAGAGGTTCCCTATGGATACGGCTTGTTCCATCTCGTGTTCCTTACAGGTTCAATGTACATGGCTACAACACTACTAGGCTGGAATATCGCCTGAGCCAAGATGGCTTTGCTGTGGTTATCTGCTTTGGTTATCTGTGGACGCTCATTGCTCCCTTTGGTTAAGGGGTAGAAAGTTTATATGATTGCTTGCAGTCATGGTAGATGCAGTCACAATCTTTCACGCTTCAGCATGCTGTCACCGTGTTGGTAGTAGGTAGGGACTCCCATGAGTCTCTGTTGGTGATGATGCCTCAACAGCACACAGCATTGCCAGGAGTAGCAACACAAGCACGTAGCAATGTCCCATGACAGGAATTTTTCTCTGATACATGTACCATTAATTGATCTGAATGTATGTACTTGTCATTGTGCACGCATGAATATGGTAATTTTCTTCATCAGCTCTGCTGCGGCCTACGCTACTCTTGTGCATGCTACTACCTAGTTTCAATCCAAATGTCCTTACTGGGACGTATTTATTTGATCCGTAACCTAAGCAGATGTATCATTATTCAGGCAATTATCTAAACCTACAATCATTGATGCAATAATAAAGCGCACCATGGTCTTCTCTTGGGTCTTGTGGGCCCCTCTTGGCCACTAGGGAATTAACCCCTAGTGTTCACCCACACACCACGTTGAGGTGGGGACCCTTCGTGTGGGACCTGCATGGGGACCACGGGGGGTTAGTAGCAAACATCAAGCAAGCAAGCAAGCACAGCAACAAGCAAGGAAACAAACAACGACGAAGCAGCAAAGAAAAACGAGCAGCAAGCAAGGAAACAAACAACGAAACAGCAAAGAAAAACAACCAACAAACAACGAAACAGCAAACAAGAACAAGCAAGGAAAGCGCGACGGCTTACCGTACAACACGCACCCCCACGACGACCGTTGCTGGCGTGCCGTGCAGTCCACCTCCACTCCGCAGCCCCGCAGTGACACGAGCAGAGGGCTTCCAGCGTCCCACAAGCCCCCGCTCAAACCAGGCAGAGACTGGCCCAGGTCGAGGCGGGGTGAGGCTCATCCGACTTCAGGCAGCGTCCCGCCATCCATCATCAGAGCACCCACACACAGGGGTGCTTCGGACGTTAAGGGGGCCAGCCCTAACGCCGTTAGCAGCCCCTGCCGCACACCACCTGATGCCACAGTTGGGGGTCTTCACTTCAGTGCTCCCCACGCATGTTGCGCAAAAACCTGCTCCTGGGGGAGGGGAGGGGAGGGGAGGGGAGGGGAGGGGAGGGGAGGGGAGGGGAGGGGAGGGGAGAAGAGGGGAGGAGGGGAGAGAGGGGAGAAGAGGGGAGAAGAGGGGAGAGGAGGGGAGGGAGGGGGGGAAGGGGGGGAGGTCTTCAGTCTTCGGTCTTCAGTCTTCGGTCTTCAGTCTTCGGTCTTCAGTCTTCGAACTTCAGTCTTCAGTCTTCAGTCTTCGGTCTTCCTGAAAAAGATGGGAAGGATAAAACAGCAGTGAGTCTCCCGAGAAAATAAGGCATGGCGCAGTTGGGGAGAAAAGCAAGGCGATAAAGCAAGGCTAGAAAAGAGGCTTACCGTCTGCTCCCTCCGCTCCTCTACCCCTTCTCGCCTCTGCTGCATCTCCACCTGTGAAACGGGAAGACACAGAGTCACAAAAACTGAGCCTAGAAATGCACTAGCGGACCTACTGCCAAGATATCACACATGGCTGAAAATATTCATACAGAAACAATGCAAAAAAAGGCAAAGCGAGAAAAGATACTTACAAGAGACGAGCAGAAGCGGCTGCTTCTGTTCCTCCTCCCCTATTCCCCTCCTCTCCTCTCCCCCTCCTCGCCTCTGCTGCATCTCCTCTGTGAAACGGGAAGACACAGAGTCACAAAACTCAGCCTAGAAATGCACTAGCGGACCTACTGCCAAGAGATCACACATGGCTGAAACGATTCAATGCATACAAAAACAATGCAACAAAAATCAAGGCGAGAAAAGTGGCTTACAAGAGAAGAGCAGAAGCGGCTGCTCCTGTTCCTCCACCCCTCTTTCCCTCCTCTCCTCCCCCCCTCCTCGCCTCTGCTGCATCTCCTCTGTGAAACGGGAAGACACAGAGTCACAAAAACTCAGCCTAGAAATGCACTAGCGGACCTACTGCCAAGATATCACACATGGCTGAAAACAAAAACAAAAAAAAAATGCAACAAAAACAATGCAACAAATATCAAGGAGAGAAAAATAGGCTTACAAGAGACGAGCAGAAGCGGCTGCTCCTGTTCCTCCTCCCCTCTTCCCCTCCTCTCCTCTCCCCCTCCTCGCCTCTGCTGCATCTCCTCTGTGAAACGGGAAGACACAGAGTCACAAAACTCAGCCTAGAAATGCACTAGCGGACCTACTGCCAAGATATCACACATGGCTGAAACAATTCAATGCATACAAAAACAATGTGACAAAAATCAAGGCGAGAAAAGAGGCTTACAAGAGAAGAGCAGAAGCGACTGCTCCTGTTCCTCCTCTGCTGCTCTGCAACGGTCCTGCCACTGCTCCCTGGCTAAACAAAACCAGAAACACAAGACGACATTAGCACGTAAAAAACTGGAAAAAGAAACAAAGAACAAAGATGCAAAAAACTGGAAACGCAACTTACATGTCGGTGACGGTGTTGACCCTCCAAGCTGCTGCTCCCCCACCGACCTGCCAAAGCAGAGACTCACATGTCGGTGACGGTGTTGACCCTCCAAGCTGCTGCTCCCCCGCCGACCTGCCAAAGCAGAGACTCACATGTCGGTGACGGTGTTGACCCTCCAAGCTGCTGCTCCCCCGCCGACCTGCCAAAGCAGGGACTCACATGTCGGTGACGGTGTTGACCCTCCAAGCTGCTGCTCCCCCGCCGACCTGCCAAAGCAGACACTCACATGTCGGTGATGGTGTTGACCCTCCAAGCTGCTGCTCCCCCGCCGACCTGCCAAAGCAGAGACTCACATTTCGGTGACGGTGTTGACCCTCCAAGCTGCTGCTCCCCCGCCGACCTGCCAAAGCAGAGACTCACATGTCGGTGACGGTGTTGACCCTCCAAGCTGCTGCTCCCCCGCCGACCTGCCAAAGCAGAGACTCACATGTCGGTGACGGTGTTGACCCTCCAAGCTGCTGCTCCCCCGCCGACCTGCCAAAGCAGAGACTTACATGTCGGTGACGTAAGTCGGCGCCGCTGCCTTGAATGCTCACCTGAAGTGCCGCCGCCTCGAATGCTCACCTGAAGTGCCGCCGCCTCGAATGCTCACTTGAAGTGCCGCCTCAAATGCACACCACACCACACCACACCACTCCACACCAGTCCACACCGAAACCAGAGACTACAGTCGATGACGCTGTAGACTCCCCGTGCGCCCTCCTCGATGGTGGGAAGGGGATGAGGACGGAGTGCAGGTCGGGTTGGGCGTCAAAGCTGGAAGAGAAGGTGCAGGGAGGGCGGTGCTGAAGAAAGAAGACGAGGAGCAGCGATGAGCGGGGCCAGCCGTGAGGAGGACTTACGAGAGACAGTGGCTCCACCCTCTCCGCCTCAACACGTCCCACCGCTACTCTCCGCTCCACTTTTCACAGCATCCCCCTCCATGCATCCACTCGTCCAACCCATCAACCACTCCCTCACGTTCCTCCGCCTCACCCTATGCCGAACGTGACGCTGTAGACTCCCCGTGCGCCTTCCTCGATGGTGGGAAGGGGATGAGGACGGAGTGCAGGTCAGGTTGGGCGTCAAAGCTGGAAGAGAAGGTGCAGGGAGGGCGGTGCTGAAGAAAGAAGACGATGAGCAGCGATGAGCGGGGCCAGCCGTGAGGAGGACTTACGAGAGACAGTGGCTCCACCCTCTCCGCCTCAACACGTCCCACCACTACTCTCCGTTCCATTTTCCACAGCATCCCCCTCCATGCATCCACTCGTCCAACCCATCAACCACTCCCTCACGTTCCTCCGCCTCACCCTATGCCGAACGTGATGCTGTAGACTCCCCGTGCGCCTTCCTCGACGGTGGGAAGGGGATGAGGACGGAGTGCAGGTCAGGTTGGGCGTCAAAGCTGGAAGAGAAGGTGCAGGGAGGGCGGTGCTGAAGAAAGAAGACGAGGAGCAGCGATGAGCGGGGCCAGCCGTGAGGAGGACTTACGAGAGACAGTGGCTCCACCCTCTCCGCCTCAACACGTCCCACCGCTACTCTCCGTTCCACTTTCCACAGCATCCCCCTCCATGCATCTACTCGTCCAACCCATCAACCACTCCCTCACGTTCCTCCGCCTCACCCCGTGCCGAACGTGACGCTGTAGACTCCCCGTGCGCCTTCCTCGACGGTGGGAAGGGGATGAGGACAGAGCGCAGGTCGGGTTGGGCGTCAAAGCTGGAAGAGGAGGTGCAGGGAGGGCGGTGCTGAAGAAAGAAGACGAGGAGCAGCGATGAGCGGGGCCAGCCGTGAGGAGGACTTACGAGAGACAGTGGCACCACCCTCTCCGCCTCAACACGTCCCACCGCTACTCTCCGTTCCACTTTCCACAGCATCCCCCTCCATGCATCCACTCGTCCAACCCATCAACCACTCCCTCACGTTCCTCCGCCTCACCCCGTGCCTAACATGACGCTGTAGACTCCCCGTGCGCCCTCCTCGACGGTGGGAAGGGGATGAGGACGGAGTGCAGGTCGGGTTGGGCGTCAAAGCTGGAAGAGAAGGTGCAGGGAGGGCGGTGCTGAAGAAAGAAGACGAGGAGCAGCGATGAGCGGGGCCAGCCGTGAGGAGGACTTACGAGAGACAGTGGCACCACCCTCTCCGCCTCAACACGTCCCACCGCTACTCTCCGTTCCACTTTCCACAGCATCCCCCTCCATGCATCCACTCGTCCAACCCATCAACCACTTCCTCACGTTCCTCCACCTCACCCCTTGCTGGACGTGTTGCCTCCTCGTCTCAAGTGCCGCCGCCTTGCCACCTCGTCCCCTCACCTGAAGTGCCGCCTGGTTGCCTCCTCCTCCTTTCCCCAAGTGTCCTCCTTGCCTCGTTCCCCAAGATTCGCATGCTTACCTCTTTGCCCCACGTGTCCTCCTTGCCTTGAGCGGGTGGTCAGCAGGGCGAGTAGGAGGCAGCCACACGCCAGTGGCTGCCGGCCGTGCGTCATCCCACCACACTCGCCCGTCCTCCTCGCTCCACCACACAACACAAAACCACACCGTACCAGACCACACCATACGAGACCACACAGCACTACACGTGCTCCTCTGCAGGCGCCTCCAAGCTACGTTGAGTGAAGAAGCCATCTTGAGTAAAGTGCCGCCTCTCCTTGCCTCCTCACCTCAAGTGCCACACCACATTACACACCTCTGCTGAAGTGCTGCCGCCTTGCCTTCGCGCCGGCTCGTTGCCCGAAGTGTCCGCCTCCTCCTCATGCCGCACCATACCATTCCATACCTCACTACACCTCTGCTGAAGTGCCGCCTTCTTGCCTCCGCGCCGGCTCGTTGCTCGAAGTGTCCGCCTCCTCCTCATGCCGCACCATACCATTCCACACCGCACTACACCTCTGCTGAAGTGCCGCCGCCTTGCCCGAAGAGCCCGCCTCGAGCAGAGCGGGTGGTCAGCAGGTCGGGTAGGAGGCAGCCGTGTGGCTGCCGGCCGTGCGTCATCCCACCGCTCGCTTCTCCCTCTCACTGCTGCCGTCCTCCCGAGTCACTGCTGCCGTTCTCTGCAGGCTCCTCTTCTCCTCTGCTCGGCGCATCCTTGAGTGAAGAACCGATCTGCAGTGAAGAACCCATGATTGCTGAAAAACAGGGGGAGGGAACACACAGACAGGTGCACAGAGTCAGTAACCAGAACTGCGTAATGGAAAAGAAAGCAATACAAACACAAGGAAACGAATGTGGAAACGAAGTGTGCGAATTGAGAGCGGAGAACGACACAAGGAAACGAGGTGAGATGGTGGGATGGATGCACGTCCATGATACGCCGGCTGCAGCTAGCAGAGGGAGGAGCTATGCTACCCAAAACCCAAAGTCTATGCTACCCAACCCAAAATCTATGCTACCCAAAACCCGCGGAGGATCATCTACTAGGCTGCAGCCGAACGTATCAGAGGGACGTGCACAAACGCGAAATGAAGGACGATGGAGTGAAGTGAAAAACGAGGTGCTGAAAACACGGAATGACAAAACGAAACGTAACTTCCCAGTTGCTTTGCTGACGAGATGCCACTGATGCCTTGATGCTCCAATGCTCCTCGAGCGGGTGGTCAGCAGGGCGGGTAGAGGCAGCCACACGCCACGCTGCACCACGTTGCACCACGGCAGGTCAGGAAACAACTTTTGCACGGACCTGGACAGAGCAGATTGCAGCACAGCGGAAACGAATCTGAAATGGTCAGGCGGAACAAAATCGAATTTGAAATGAGAGCTGAAATGAGAGCAACGAAAAGGAATCTGAAAATAGCAACAGGAGAAAGATACAGCCAGGAAACGTATAACCTAGAGATCGGGCGTTGGATGAAAACTCACCACCAGCGTCAGACGAAAACAGCTCGAACGTCGACGTCGCAATTAGTGATGCGCTCTCCGCCAATCAGCTCTCCGCCAATCAGCTCTCTGCCAATCAGCGATGCGCCAATCAGCTCTCCGCCAATGCTCCAATGCACCTCGAGTGGGTGGTCATCAGGGCGGGTAGCGGCAGCCACACGCCAGTGGCTGCCGGCCGTGCGTCATCCCACAGCTGGCCTCTCCCGCTCGCCACAGCAATGCAGCGTCATCCCCCCTGCTGCTCAGAATGAGGAGCAGAGGGAGCAGAGAGGCACAGAGGGTAGAATCAGCCTCAGAGCAGCAGACGAAAGAGCGGCACTGAGAGCAAGAGCAAGAGCGGGTACCCGAAAGCGAACAAGATAGGAGTGCGAGAAGACAAGCAAGTGGCAGTGAACAAATAGGAGTGCGAAAGGTGAGCAGAGTGGAGTGACAAGTGAGTGGGCAAGGAGCATGACGGCAGTGGGCCAAGGGCACCATACATACCAGCAAGCTAAGGCCGTGCGCCATCCCACAGCTGGCCTCTCCACCTCCTGGCCGTGCGCCAGCCCAGTGGTTGTTGCCGCATGAGTGAGCAGAGGACACAGCCTCCTTATAGCAGTGCTGTGCGTCATCCCGCGTGGTTGTTGCTGCATGCTCCAGCAGCTATCGCCACGTGGTTGTTGCCGCATGCTCCAGCAGCTATCGCCACGTGGTTGTTGCTGCATGCTCCAGCAGCTCTTGCCACGTGGTTGTTGCCACATGCTCCAGCAGCTATCGCCACGTGGTTGCGCTGCGACTGCATGAGGAGCAACCGCGCAGAGAGGCAGAGAGGGGTAGAATTAGCCTCGGACCAGAAGAGAGAGCGCAAGACAGAGTGGCACTGAGAGCAAGAACAAGTGGCAGAAGAGCAAGAGCAGGTAGCTAAAAGCAGACACTGGCGAGAAAGCAAACAAGTGGCAGCGAACAAGATTGAAGTGCGATGCGAACGGTGAGCAGAGTGGAGCGACAAGGCAAGGCGCATGACGACAGTGGGCCACGGGCACCGCAGCAGCGAGCGAGGAGGGACTGGGAAATGTCAGGACGCACCCATTAGCTTTTGTGGCCGCTCGTTGCTTTCGCTTGTCACTTCCCGATTCGCCGGACGCCTCCTCGCGTCGCCTCGCCTCCAGATTCAGGATTAACACCCACAAGTCAGCAGCGCCGCCTCCTCGCCAGCAACGTCCGCCTCCTCTGCACAAGTCACACCACACAGCATCAGTGAATAAGAACTCGGATTCGCGAAAGGGCAACGAAGAAAGAAAAGAACTCAGGTGAAAGCGCTGAAAACCGTTGGCAGAAGTTCAGATTCAAATATTCAAATTCAAACTACTCCAACATTCAGATTCAAATTCAGCTTACCATGGCAGAGCAGAAGTTCCTCCGGTGCAAGAGCGCCCATTCTCAGCTGCAGCAGCACCCGATACCTCCGTTCTTCAGCAGTGCAGCGCCGTCCTTGCTTCAGCAGTTGTTTCCTGAGCCTCAGCTGCAGCAGCGCGCTGCTAGCCTCAAACGGTTTGCTGCTGCTCCCACAAGGTGCAGTGGAGAGCAGCAGGCCTTGGACCTGCACTTCTCCTTTGCTCCGCTTCACCACGCTGCACCGCGCAGCTCAATCCGTGTGATCCGCGCAGCTCAATCCGTGTGATCCGCGCAGCTCAATCCGTGTGATCCGCGCAGCTCAACCCGTGTGATCCGCGCAGCTCAATCCGTGTGATCCGCGCAGCTCAATCCGTGTGATCCGCGCAGCTCAATCCGTGTGATCCGCGCAGCTCAATCCGTGTGATCCGCGCAGCTCAATCCGTGTGATCCGCGCAGCTCAATCCGTGTGATCCGCGCAGCTCAATCCGTGTGATCCGCGCAGCTCAACCCGTGTGATCCGCGCAGCTCAATCCGTGTGATCCGCGCAGCTCAATCCGTGTGATCCGCGCAGCTCAATCCGTGTGATCCGCGCAGCTCAATCCGTGTGATCCGCGCAGCTCAATCCGTGTACCGCGCAGCTCAATCCGTGTGATCCGCGCAGTTCCATGGCCTCGCCAGGAAGTCCGAATCCGCGATTTGACTCCGCGATCCTCCTGATTGAACCGGGGAAAATAGGTAAAAGAGACAAAATGAGAAGAGAATTCAGGAATAGAGAAACTTACAGAGAACCTGCATAACGCGTATTAAGAACAAGCGTGTATGATTAAGAGGCAAGATCAAGAAGGTCGTTTGACGTTTGTACCTCAGTCTTGACGGGGATACACACGAAGTAGTTTCGCCGTTATGTAATGTCGCGAACGCCGACGGCTTCGCGAGCTCCGCTGACGGCTTCGCGAACTCGGCTGACGGCTTCGCGAACTTCGCTGACGGCTTCGCGAACGCATCCATCAGCAGATCCGCCTTCGCCGCGAACTCCGTCTTCACCGTCTTAACTTCGTCAGGGGTCGTCTAGAGTCGTCGTGAAGCTGTACCGTCGTAACGTCGCCGAATGCGTGCAGCGACTCATTGTAACGTCGCCGAATGCGTGAAGCGATTCATTGTAACGTCGCCGAAAGCGTGCAGCGACTCATTGTAACGTCGCCGAATGCGTGCAGCGATTCATTGTAACGTCGCCGAATGCGTGCAGCGATTCATTGTACCGTCGCCGAATGCGTGCAGCGATTCATTGTAACGTCGCATCATCTGTTGCAGACTGCGTGAGCGAATCCGTCGTAACGTTCATCAGACGACGAAGCTTGCAGGGATCTGAGCGACCGATGTAGGAGGAAAAATCATGTCGCGACTCGCGAGCTGAAAATTAAGTAGAGTTGAGCGATATGAATCATTCTTCAACCGATGAAACGGTCGAGCTGATGCTTCGTGTAGAGTCCGATCCAACGTTATAACTGATGGTAACGACTTAACGACTGCCGTAACTCTGGAAGATGAATCATTAGGCTGATGGTCCGTCGTAACTCTGGTAAAGCTGAAACATTAGGCTGATGGTCGTCTAGTTTAAAAGTTGAGCGATATGAATCCCTAGATTTAGCCAAGCTATAGTCCTACTAGTTCTTAGTGTTTGATACCCTCAACGGGAGCGGTGATGGTAACGACCTACTGGCTGCCGTAACTCTGGAAGATGAATCATTAGGCTGATGGTCCGTCGTAACTCTGGTAAGCTGAATCGTAAGGCTGATGGTAGTCTAGTTTAAAAGTTTGAGCGATATGAATCCCTAAATTTAGCCAAGCTATAGGTCTTAGCTTCTGACTACCCTCAACGGCAGTGCGAATAAGGTTGTCGTCAGAATAGAGGAAGCCATGGACTCCGAGTAGCTGAGTTACCTCGACTAACTCGTGTCACACCAGAAGATTACGCCTAGGGAATGTCGAGATTCATTCAGGGATGGGAATAGTGGCTGGCAGATTGGGAAGGGAGAAGTGAAGGAAGTGGATGGAAGGAAGGGGAGGTTGGGGGGGTTCCGAGTGGTTTAACGGGTTTGGACGGAAAACAGAAGGGTGCTTTGCCGGACCAAGAGAGTTTTGGAGTGAACGGAAAACAGAAGGGAAGCGAAGTGGGCGACGACGAGGGGAGTCGGCCATGCGAAGCAACTGCAAGCCGAGGGGAGGCGGAGCCTGCTGCCGTTCCAGTCGGGAAGCCGCTGAAATGTGAGTGGACGTTCCGCTGACAGGCGGGAGGCGGGAGAAATTTGGCCAGTGAAAGTGAAGGAATGCGGGAACAGTGTTGCGCAGCCGCGCGCTCCGTCGGACGGTTCGCGGGAAGGAGGAGCCATGTGCGAAACATAAGAAAGAAAGCGAAAGGTGTTACGGTGTCATAACCAAAAGGCATCTTGTGAGCAAAGTCATGTGAGCTCAGCGTTGAAACTGGACGATTTGGCGATAAGACTGCCTGAATTGGTATGGCATGATGTGGATGGTATGGTCAATTAGCCAATCACGAGTTGGCACGGGTGCCATGGTAGGAGCCTCGGTCAACATTTCTGTTGGCTCTTTCAGACCCTGTTTAAAAAATTTGTCGTTGCTCGCGAATCATTCTGGCGGGAAGGCGACTTTCATCCCCGTTAAGAAAACCAGAAATAGCTTTCGCAGGTTAGGATGCACGAGGTGTATTTCATGCAGTTACCTAGGAATTCGAATCACAGAACCATATGCTGTTATACATTTGCACACTTTAACAGCACGTTGCAGCTAACGGTAATAATACACTAGCTCTACTACATCTGCATTATTACGCCTTGTTGAGCAAGCAACCAGCAAGCAGGATGGAAATCAGCGCTCAAGCTTGCTGACTAGGCTGTCGAGAGGAGGCAGCTCATTAATAAAATCCGCCCAATCAGGCATGCCCTGGAGGGATAGAGTGAGGGAGTGAGGGACAGTGGAGAGAGCGAGAGTGAGAGCTATAGTGAGGACACACGAGATGGTGTGCAGAAGCAGCAGCGACAGAAGAAACCATGAGAGGATGGATTTCAAGTGTGACCACGGCTGAATACAAAGGGGACGGCGAGTTTGGAACGAGTAAACAAAGCAGCCACAGATGCGGCAAACTCACCGTGCCTGACTTCCTGACTCGGCCGTCCAGTCGCAGCACGATGAAGGCATCGCTGCCCTCCGCTACCTTCTCCGCCTTCTGCTGTGACCGCACCCATCTGATCACAAACACATGCCATGCCATGCCATGTCATGCCATGCCATGCCATGCCATGCCACGCCATGCCATGCCATGCCATGCCATGCCATGCCATGCTGTGCCACACCACACCGTGCCATGCCATGCCATTCAACCGATGCACCACACCCTTTGGTCAACGATTTTCTGAAACATGCACATAAAGGCTAAACAAGCTGTGTGTGTGTGTGTGTGTGTGTGTGTGTGTGTGTGTGTGTGTGTGTGCCCTGCCACTCATTTGTTCCCTGCCTCCCCACACTCACTAGGCCCCTCTGCCTTCCTCACTTTCCCCTTCCCCCTACCCCTCCCCTCCAACTCACTGCTCCTACTTCCCTGCCCGCCCCACTCACTGGTCCCACTCCCCGGGCGACACAGCTTCAGCCTTGAGTCGCCTGTCTGCCTCGGCCACTCTCTTTGCCGCCGCCTCCCTCGCCTTCTCCTCAAACTCCTCCTGTTGTTCGCACACGGTTGGTTGGGTGGACCACGTCGAGTGGCAAGGAGCAGGAATCAATAGGCAAGCACTTTCAAATCCCACAAAAGAAAAGGATTACAGAATTGACAGGGAGCGGAGAAAAAAACCAAAAAAAAAAAAAAACACCGAGAGTGCAGCCGTCAGCTAAGCCCAAACTGAATCCCCATCTCTGAGAAGGACAAACGTGATTGTGAGAAGGGAGCTACTGCCGACTCAAGGAGCCAGCCAGAACACCAACAAGGCACCAGCTTAGCAGTTGCTGGTGCTGGTGTTGCTGCTGCGTCTCACCAGGGGCTCCAGCACGGAAGCTGCAGCTGCTTGCAGTACCCTTTTGAGTCGACTCAAATGTCACCTCATCTCACCAGCGATTCGAGCGTGGCAGCAGGCTTCTTGACAGCAGCAAAGCCCTTCTTCTTGCTGTCAGCCAGCACACCCTTGCTCTGCAGGATGGGCACCAGCAGCACGCCACGCTCCTGCAGCTGCTTGCGGTACCCCTCTGCCCGCTTCATCGCCTGCTGCACCGCCTCCTTTCGCCCCGACAGAATCACCTGCACGCACAGAGCACGGCGGTGCAGAGCATGGAGGTACTAAGGGCAGATGCATAATCTATTACTCCAGCCTCGCAGCTGCACCACCTTGCCTTGCCCAAGTGCACCCCGAGAGGCAGCGAGAGAGAGAGAGAGTGTGTTACAGCCCTCGCTCAAGCACCCGATTTGCATCGCTCACACTCACTGGCCGCGTTGTGCCTCTGAGCTGCACCAGCTCCACCACCTTGCCCGACTGCAGCCGCAGAGGCAGGTACAGAAACCTGCTGCCACTCAAGCACCCCATTTGAGCAACCGGTTCCCTTCCCTCTTTCACTCACTGGCCGCGTTGTGCCTCTGAGCTGCACCAGCTCCACCACCTTGCCCGACTGCAGCCGCAGAGGCAGGCGGGAGAGCGTCTCATCGCGTGACACGCGCCCCATCTGCTCCTCCTCTCGCCGCTGCTCCCACAGGTACAGCCCCACCATCGCCACGCCGCCTGATGGCCAAGCAATGCGAGCAAGGGGGGAGGTGGGAGAAGGGAGGAAAGGGGGCAATGAGAGGCGACCCATCTGCTCCTCCTTCCACCCCGCCTAAAGGTGGGGATGAGAGGAAAGGGGAGACGATGGAAGGCAGAAAAAGGAGGGGAACGAGCGCAGGTAAGCCAGCAGAGACTCAGCTCAGCTCCATAAAAACGAGCAGCTCAACCCCAGGCCGTAAACAAATTTCAAAACCCTGCCCTCTTCCTTCCACCTGCAACCTCCATCATCACCACTCTCCCACACACCCTATGCTCACCCAGTCGTCACCTCGCAGCATCGCTCTTCACCGCGCAGCACCCTCACCTCCCAGGTCAATGGCCAGGTTGCCACCAGTGGTGAGCAGATCCGGGGCGTCGATCCCTCCTTGGACGGCCAGGATGAACCGGGGGAGGGTGATGACGGTGGCGATGCCAGCAGCCATGCCCAGCGCCACGTACAGAAACCTCCTCACGCCTCTGAACGGCGCCTGCACCTCTGCTATCAGCTTCAAGTCCCGCCGAAACTTGCCACCCACTTCCTCGCCGCCCTTCCTTGCCTGGAGTGGGAGAGGGGAAGAGGGAGCAGGAAGGAAGGGTGGGTGCTCAATGTGCTGCGCATCAGCTCGTGTGCTCTTCCTTCCTCCCCCTGCGGTCTCCTTGTGCTCTTTCAGTCCAGCCATGCCCAGCGCCACGTACAGAAACCTCCTCACGCCTCTGAATGGCGCCTGCACCTTGGCTATCAGCTTCAAGTCCTGCCGGAACTTGCCACCCACTTCCTCGCCGCCTTTCCTTGCCTGGAGTGGGAGCGGGAAAGGAGGGAGCAAATGAGCCACAAATCAGCTCTTCTCCAATCCTTTCCTCCATGCAGTCTCCTAGTGCTCTTTCAGTTCAATTCTCTCTTCTACTTCCCCTTCTCCTGTCCTCCCCCTCTATAGTTCATGCAAGCAGCACCGCACACAAATCTTCCTCACTCTCCCTCACTTCCTCTCCCCTCACCTCCTCTCCCCTCACCTCCTCTCTCCCTCCCCTCCTGCCGCCTCACCTCCTCTTGAAGCGCTCTGAATTTTTGGCCTGGCGGGGAAGGCCGCCACGCCGGGTTGCTGAGAATGACGCTAAACTGCAGCCTGGATTGACCTTTGAGACGTCTCAGATACCGCCTCCCCTCCCCTCCCCTCCCCTCCCCTCCCCTCCCCTCACCTCACCTTCCGTCCTGCCGCCTCACCTCCTCTTGAAGCGCTCTGAATTCCGGCATGGCGCGGAACGCCGCCATATCCGGGTCGCTGAGGATCACGCTGAACTGCAGCCCGTACCGCAGAGCCTCGCGAAGCGCCTCCTGCGCCTGCACGCCCTCCTCCCTGCACGGGTCACGTCACCCGCGCGACGTCAGGTCACGATTTACGACTGAATAGCCCGAATCCCAATCATCTAACCGTATGAGACCAAAAAATCCTTAATGCGGAATCCCAGTGTTATTGGCTCAATTCACTCGCTTTTATTCTTATGTTATATAATCCTCGCGCTACCTGAAAGCATGGCAGCACGCCTTATTGTAAAGAGCCGCCTGCGCCTCTTCCTCAGAGGGCTTCATCTCGAGTGCCATCTCGAACCGCCTCAGCGCGTCGCGCACGCGCCCTTTCTTGTACAGCTCCAGCCCCTGATTCACCGCCTGCTCCGCGCTTCGCGGGACCGCCAAATCCGCCGCCGTCCCCGCCGCGACCGGCGCTGCTCCGTCTCCTCCCTCACTGGCTTTCGCGCTGACGCTCAGAACCACACCCCGTTTCCTACTGTGAATTCTTTGCTTATCATGGCTGCCGGGAAACCTTAGCCACGCTTGCTTTCGCAGTGCACGAGACGGTCTGCGAGTGGGTAGCAGGGAGGCAATGTGGGAGCTGGCGGGAGATGCGGTGCTCTGATTGGCGCTCAGTTGAGCACTGAGCGTCTGTGGCAAGAGGCTGACGTGGCAGATGGATGCCATGTCAGTCACGCACGCGCGACGGTCTCGTAACCTGTATGGAGAGAGCCGACCTCGAAGAATATTGTCAGTTAGACGGAAGCTAACTGGTCGCAAGCTAGCTAGTCGGAAACTAGCAGGCGATGTTGGAGAAACGGAAGAAGTGGAGGAGCTGGGACTAGTGGGGGAGGAAATTGGTTCTAGAAGAGTGGCACCAGATGGTTCACGAAAACTGGGAACAGGTTGAGGGGCGAAATATTGTTGACCTTGGGAATTCCAGCGAAATACCACGAGCGATGAACGGCTACGATGCGATCGTTCGTGATTGTACGACCAGCCTTATCCGAAAGCCCCCAACTGCGAAATAAGCCACTGCTTCAAACTGATAAAACTATATTCTGGTATGAATGATCCTGATACAGAAAAAAAACTCATAGACAAGAGATCAGATCCTGTTTCTTGATCCCCTTGAACTCTGCAGAGACCATACCCCTGAATGATAATCTTTCAATGCTATCTCCGGCTAGGCTTTTCCAACACGCAATTCAGGTACACATGCTCACCCTCCCTCTCAGCTGTATCTGTTTTTGGCGTCAGGTTCCAATACTTCTTCCTGTACCCAAACTGCTCTATCACCCCAATGTACAGAGGCATCTCCCACACCGGTGCATAGAACAGCTCAAACCACCAGATCCCTCCGGGCCTTAGAATCCTGTCCCATTCGAACAGAAGCTCCTCGAATTCTGGGATGGAGAAGTACTTGATACTGTTCACCGTGTGAATCAAATCCAGCGTGTTGTCAAAGAACGGCTGGCGGGCCTTGTGCGGCACGTGCAGAGGCACCAGGCCTCTCTGCGCAATCGTCTCCATATAAGGCAACCCCATTTCCACTTCTTGCACCGTCTCCGTGTTCATAGCCGTGGTCAGAATCGTCACGTTGTACAGTGCAAGCGCCGCTGCAAAGCTGCCGGTACCCCCACCGGCATCCAGGCCAATCCTAATAGACCCACGCGGTTTCAGCTTCATCACCTCCTCTAAAGTCACAGCCCCGCGATAGTTATTCTTCCACCGCTTCGCCTCTAGCGTAAGGTTGAAGCAATCTCGGCAATCCCCAAGCAGCCGTGAGTTGATGCACGCGTACGACTTGCAGCGGTGCAGGTCCCACCGCACGTTCGAGTCCAGCAGGGCACGCGGGTCAAACACAGACTGGGGGAAGGGAATGCTTGGCTCTTGATAATCCGGGGGTGCTGCGGCGAAGCAGCGTCTGCGTGGCAGGCAGAAGCAGTTACGGACAAAGATTAAGTGCTGGACAAAGTACCAGTCATCCGGACAGGGTTTCTTCGGGGAGTAGTTAAGGTATTTCAGCAGCTCCTCGTCTGTAGCACTGCACGACGTGGCACGAATCCGGGCAGCTGAAAGCTGCCCGCTACTGTACCCGCCACCAATGGCGCTCTCCCGCGCTTGTTCAGCTGCCCGGCCGCACTCTTCAATTGCTTTCCGGGCAGCTTGCAGAGCGTCATCACTGGAGACAGTATCATTGCAGTCTGTGGTGTTCCTCGAATAATGCGCCACTGCAGCCGCCAGCCTCTCCCTCTCCTGCTGCAACCTCTCGTTCAGAATCTGCTGCTGCTCGCACTGCGTCTGCAGTGCTGCCAACATCTCGCTCTCACTCATTGCCCCAGCCACTGCACCTGCTGTTGCGGCATCACCAGGGGCTGCAGCAGCACTGTTAGTACTGGCCTCCCCTCCCGTCCCCTCCACTCCACCAGCCTGCCCAAGACTCGCTCTGCACTCTTGCAAAGACGCCTCGCATTTCGCCAACTCTGCCGCCGCAGCGGCATCGGAAGCAGAACCGATGGGCTCCCCTCCTCCCCCACCTCCTCCCCCGGTGTTGTTGCTGACGTCAGCGAAGGTTTTGAGATCCTCGGCTTTGATTGGCCCCGAGTGATTCGCTTTAAGCCGCGCGATTTCCTCCATAAGCGTGCGCACCTCGTCGCGGAACAGCTGGCGCTTCGCGGTGCGCAGCTGCTGCTTCTCGATCTCCGCGCGCAGCTTCCCCAGCACCTCCTCCGCGCTCTCCCCCGGCCGCGGCTGCGCCGCCTGCTGGTGGTACCGCGGGAGCAACAGCGACGCCGCGGAGTGCGCTGCGACGTGCGCGAAGGAGGAGTCTGCTCGTTGCGTGCCGGTGGCAGTGTAACGAAAGTTGTAACCAATCTCGATGGAGAGGAAGGCGAAGCATGCGAAGAGCGCGAAGATGAGGAGCGAGCGAAGGTTCGTATGCGACACGATACTGGCCAGTGCCGACGCCATGATAGGATGAAATGTCGCGACAAATAGATGCCTTTACACTAGGAACCCCCGGATCATCGTGTGACGCCCAGAAAAAAAAACCGGGCTGGGCCTACAGACCTAACGACTAAATTGACGAAGCTCGAGATGTGGAGCTGGTGGACGGCACGATGTTACCGCAAGTGGAGCTGGTTTGGCGTCTGGGGGAGGTGCCTCTCGTCTGACCTAATTTGAGCCAAACCAGCCCCCAACAAACACGATGAAAGCAAGAGGTGACAGGGCCCACTGGGCACTGTGTGGCATTACTTCAGCCTTTCAGGTTTTGCAGGCCAGCGCGCAGCCTTGCTTGCCTGAACCTGAGTGGTCTCGGGTGCGGACTTCAAATCCGTAGCGGCTTAACGGCCGAGCTGTTCGATTCAGCCTGGCGAGCGAGTTGCTCAACTGTGATAACGATGTCGGATCAGGTAGAACGTTTACAGCCTGGAAGGTTTGATACACGGCGTTCTCGATGCTTCGCTTCGCTGTCCGCGATACAGCGAGGATTCTTTTCCTTTCCATCACAACTCCAGCTTTGCGGGACGTGGATGAGCCAACCTGGACTCGACCAGACTCCCTCCCTCCCTATGCAGCTTCTTTTTCCCTCCCCTCCAGTCCATTCCATTTCTTGCATTCAACCTGTCAGCTTTAGGAGCCTGCTTTACGTTCTGACTCTCAGCCTACATCCTGATTTGTTTGGATCGCCACGCTTGTGCTAGTGAACGTGTTCCTGAGATTGCCGCTTAGCTTTGTAAATAAAGTAACTCGTCGCACCGCAGCCATGGGCGACCGCACGGTCCATGTCGGCAATCTCGAGACGTTCGTGAACGAGAGCACGCTCTACCTGCTCTTCTCGCAGTTCGGCACTGTCACCAACGTTCGTCTCGCTGGGTAAGGCGCGTCCCTTTTTTATGTGCTTTGCGTTTACCAGCGCTTACCGCAGTCATGCATCAGATTTACGGACAGGATCTGCTACCGTGGTTTATGGGTATTCGATCCATGGCTCCTTGCACACGTCCGTTATCCTATTCTTTTTTGTGCTCGTTTTTCCCCAAAAGGTTCTACTACTTTTTATTTTTCATTTCCTACTTGTTACAGTGACCCTAAGATGCAGACGCGGTACGCGTTTGTGGAGTTCAACGATTCCGTTATGGCGCACGCAGCGTGCTTGCTGGACGGGCTGCAGGTCGGCTCGCGCAATCTCCGCGTCTCCCTCTCCAAGCCATACGCCGGGGTACGCATCGCGCTTCCATACCATCTCCTCTTCTGTTCGCCTCCCTGGCATTCCGTTCCGTCTCGCGTCCATTCGTGATCCCAGCGTACTCTCAATCGCAGGACGAAGAAGGACAGTTAGCAATGCTCTTTTTAGGGTTTCATAGTGCTCGCACTTAAGCCCAGATGATATACCCAAGTCTTGCGTCTGTTCCAAGGTCGGTCTTTGCTTTCGTTGTTCGTGTGCGTGGGCATGCCAGAAAGGAGCGGCGTCAGCAGCGGTGCAGAACCCCTTAGCTGCGCTGATGGGCGGGGGACTGGCAGCGACTCCCGCCGTCAGCGCTCCGCGGAAGCGGTCCACCGTGGAGGATCAGGAGCGCATTTCGCGGACCATCCACGTCCGCAATGTGGACATCCAGGTCAGCTGGAGTTAACAACTATTCTTTAAACATCGCTTGCTTGTATTTGTGCAACGTAGCCTCGTTAACGTCGCTATTGATCGTCACCGTATCCTTTTTTTCTAACTTCAGCATATATCTTCCTCCCACCTTTCCCCCTCCCGCACGTCGCGTGCGCGGTCAGATCACGGAGGCGATGCTGGTGGAGTATTTCGGCGTGTGCGGCACCGTGACGGCCGCGCGCACGGCGGGCACGGGCAACCCGCGCACGGCGTGGATCGAGTTCGCCGCGCAGCAGTCCGCTCTCGCCGCGCTCTCGCTCGACGGCCAAGTCCTCGCCGGGCAGACCTTGAGGTAGTTCCGGGCAGACCTTATAATAGCTCCAGGCAGACATAAAGATAGTTCTGTTGGCGCCGCCACCAAGCATGGCGTTCTCTGCGTCGCCCTGCCCCTCCGCACGTCTCGCCTTATTCCCTCCACCCTGCGCCCCTTTCCCCCCATTTCCCTCTTTCCCTCCGCCCCGCTCGCTCCCTCCCTTTCTCCTCATCAGAATCTCCCCCAGCAAGTCCGCCATTCAGACCAACGCGCTGTCGCAGCGCAACGCGCCGCCGGCGGCGCTGCCGACCATGACGCCCGCCATGATGATGGCGGCCGTCGCCGCTCCGCAGAACATCGTCAAAGTGCAGGGCATCCCCGCTAAGGTGTGCCTCGCTGTCCCACTTACCAGCTACATCCTGCAGTTTTTGTTCGTTGCTTCTATTCGCACGTTTCTTCTCCCCGCGCGTCTCCCTCCCAACCTCCGCGCTTCTCCCCTCTCTGAGCATCAACCCCCTCCGCGCATCGCTCCCCTCCCTGCACTTCTCCCCTTCCCGCCTCACCTGCTCTCTACTCCCGCCCCTTGCGTCCCGACGCCCATCTTTCCCGCCCGACCCTCCCTCCCGCCCTCCCTCCCACCCTACCCTCCCACCCTGCCCCGCTCGCCCCTCCCGAAGCCCACCCACCCCGCTGGTTCCCCCGTTGCGTGTGCGTGCTGCCGTGTGCCGCCCAGGCTTCGGAAGCGGACGTGCGCGCGCTCATGGAGGGGCGCTGCGGCCACGTGCGCTCGCTGATCATCGTGCCCGTGCCAGGCCCGCCGCCTGAGGAGCCGGGCAAGGAGACGGACAAGGAGAAGGGAGAGAAGGGCGAGGAGGGGGGCGAGGGCGAAGAGGGTTACAAGGGCCCGACGAAAATGGCGACGGTGGAGGTGGAGGATGCAGGCGCGGTGGCAAAGGCGCTAGAGCTGAACGGCACCAAGTTCATGGGCGCGACCATCTCGTACGTTCTCCCCTGCTGCCATCCTCCCTCTGGACTTGCCTGTTTGCCTTTGTTGCTGCTGTGGCTACTGAAGCACTCTTATTTTCACTTCTCCACCACTCCCCTTCTCCCCTACTCCCTTTCTCCCCTCCTCCCCTTCCACCCCCTGCTTCCCTCCCGTCCCGTTTTTCCCTGCCCTTCCTGCTGTCCGCATTTGTATCCCGTCTTCCATCCTCCCTCGCAGTTTTATACCCCCCATGGCACCAACTGCCTCAATCTTCCTTGCAGCAGCTTCATAACCTTTTTTTTTGCATCCAAGTCCCATCCACCCTGCCCTTGACTCCTAACAACCTCCCTTTTCTTGGCTCTTGCGCTGCTGTGCTGCCTCCGCTGCCTCTGCTCCAACACCTGCTGCTCTCCTGCCTGCTTGCGTTGCTGCTGCTGGCGCCGACGCTGCTGCTGCTGCTGCTGCTGCCGCTGCTCGCATGGGCGACTGCTGGTGCTGCTGGGTGGTGTGTGGTGAGCAGGGTTGAGAAGGTTGAACCCCTCCCGCCCGCCCCCGTGCCCGCCCCTTCGTCCACCCTTCCTGCAGCCTTCGCCATTCCCGGCCTCGACCCCTCTCTCCTTGACCCCTCCCTTCTCTCCGATCCCACCTTCCTTGCGGCTGCCACGGCAGCTGCAGGGGCTCTCCCCACCACCGCGCTTCCTCCCCCGCCCCCTCTACCCCCCAACACGCAACCCACCATCGTGTCAAATGAGGCTGGCACTGATGGCACTGGTACTGGCACTGGTACTGCAACAGGCACAAACGCCACAGCAGCAGCTGCAGCATCGGCAGATGACGATCGGAAAGACTCTCACGGTGAGTTGCCTCATCCTCATTCCCATGGCTTGGTTTGCGCAGGCGTCCACAGGCATCGTTCGTCTGGCTGTTGTCTCTCTTCTGGTTGCTGCTGCCAACTGACCTGGTGATGTGTGGTGTGTTGGCATTATGGGTGAATAAACCCATGACTTGGTGTGTGGTGTATTGTGGTGTGGTGTGGTGTGGTGTGGTGTGGTGGTGCAGGATCACACAAGCGTTCGGCAGATGACAAGGAGGGGGGAGAGAAGCGCGCACGCCATGACTAACCAGCTATGTGAACATCCCAAGGGTTCATCTGCGGACCTGGACATCTTTGCCTTGCCCTCTCTCCCCCCATGGCTAGCTACTACCACCTCAAAAGTCTTACACTGCATGTTGGTCGATGCAGGTGTTGTAGCACCATCTAGGATCCTCTCTGGGTTTTGTGGAAGTAGAGTTACTTCCATATAATGCAATGCAATGCACACAGAATGTCTGATCAGGGGAAACAGTGATACGTTGGGCTTTACAAGTGCTATCATCTCACTGTCAGGCTGAATACTGGCTGCAGGAATGAGCAACCACTACCCAGAAGGTTGGGAAATCAATTGTCACACGGTGAACCTCAAAAGAGACAGTGTGAAAGTCTTTATGCAGAAACCAGAACAATAACACCTACGCACATGCGTGCTACAACACTCCACTCCCCCTTTCCTCCTCACTTCTGTCTCAACCATGAATCATCCCCTCCGGCAGCAAACTCTGGCGCTTTAGGCGGCGGATTAGCAGCAAACACATCGTGCTTCTCCCCTCCACTCACCCCGCCACTGCTGCTGCTTCCGCTTCCCCCTTGAGCGCCCTTGTCCCCGCCTGCGCCCCCCCAGGAGAACCACCCTCCCCAACCTGACGATGCCCCACTCTCTGGCGCTACCGGACCAGTCTGTACCGCCGCCGAACCAGATCCAGGGCTGAGTTCTACGTTCGGCAACGTCACAGCGCCACCAGCGCCGGGGCTGACTAACTCAGGTTGGGTAGACAGGGTAGGGGCGGCGGCAGCGGGAAGAGCGGCGGGTTGGACAACCACGGGCATGCTCATTGGCTGCTGGATCTGCGCGGGCGGGGGCTCATCGCGCGGGGGAGGGGGGAGCGCTGCGGTCATGCGGTTGAGCATGATCCCCGCGCCCTCGATCAGGCCCAGCAGCACTCCGCCGAACACGGCGGACTGCAGCGCGGATCGCGGGCCCGCGCGCAACTGGAGGAAGCCGCCAGTGAGGAAACCCGCGGCGATGGAGTTCCAGGGGTCTTCCTTTTGGCGGAGATACACTAGCGAGCAGTCGAACGTTGAGAACAGCCCGCCCCACACCGCGAAGCTTCCGCCGATGCGCGGCGCGTTGATCCGCACGGCCTGCGTTCCGCCGATAAGGCGCTCCCCGCGCGGGGAGTTCTTTGCTCCGCGGATGAAATGCCACGCGGCGCCGCCCACCGCGCCCATGCTGAACGCCCCGCCCACGTCATCGAGGATGCGATCCGGGCACGGCTCGCGGCCGTACTCCCCCGCCATGTGCTTCTAACGGTGCGTGAAAACTGATTACAGAAAGGCACGCGAGGACGTCGCGATCGGATGAGTTAACGCAAAGCGGCAGATTAGGAGTTTGCGACTGGTTCTCCGCGGTTTCTCGTTACGATCGAGGCGGATCTGGAGAAGGGGGAGGTACGCGCGATAAGCGATGACGGCACGGGGCGGGATAAAGGCGGGGAGATGGAGATGTGGGTGGAAGAACGATCGTGAAACAGAGGCGGCTGTGGAAAAAACTACCGTACCTTCCTCGCAGTGAAGGCTGAGGGGACGCGTCGGGTGTGTTAGATGCTAGCTGTAAATTCTCGTCTAGAGGTTTGTGGGGTTGGGGTGGGGGCAAGGGATGGAGCGCAGGTAGGGGAAAGAAGGCACGAGAGCTGGCAGGCACACTGGAAACCAAATTTGCCTATATCGGGTTCAGCTTCACTGGACTGGTTGGTTGCCGTGAACTTGGAGCGGTTGTGGCGTGTGCGCGGATTCCCGCTGTATCGCGGACACCACGTCAGTCAAGCATCTCATAAGAAACGTCAGACAAATGCACCAATTAACAGCTCAATTGAAGTAAGAGGAATATATTATCGTATACATTCGTTATTCGTCATTCGTGACTCGGGGAACACGCCGAATGACGAATGACGAGTGACGAATGACGAATAACGAATGTCAATAACGCATGACAAAAACGAATGGCGAATGACGAATGACGAACGGCAATGACGAATGACGAATGACAATGACGAATGACAAATGGCAATGACGAATGGCGAATGACGAATACGAATGTCCAATAACGAATGGCGAATGGCGAATGATGAATGGCAATGACGAATGGCGAATGGCAATGACGAATGACAATGATCCGCACAAGTGAAGGAAGTGCAGCGGACGCTCTTCATTCGCGAGCGCCGATGACCGATGATGCTCGCAACCCTCCCATGCCCTTGCTGGCTTGGCAATAGGCCCAGACAAGCACAGCCACGTGACCCGGCGGAAGAAAAATGCTCGGAACGAGCGCTTCCAGCCCCAAAACAAGGAAGGAACCGCACATTTGGAGGAAGTGCAGCAAGCGCATTTCATTCGCGAGCTCCGATGACCGATGATGCTCGCAACCATCCCACCCCCGCATTAGGCCCAGACAAGCGCAGCCACATGACCCGACAAAAGAAAAACGCTCGGAACGAGCGCCTCCACCCCTAAAACGCGGAAGGATCCGCACATGTGCATGAAGTGCAGCGTGCGCTCTTCATTCGCGAGCGCCGATGACCGATGATGCTTGCAACCCTCCCACGCACTTGCTAGCTGATCAATAGGCCCAGACAAGCGCAGCCACGTGACCCGACGGAAGAAAACCGCTCGAAACGAGCGCTTCCAGCCCCAAAACGCGGAAGGATCCGCACATGTGCAAGAAGTGCAGCGGGCGCTCTTCATTCGCGAGCGCCGATGACCGATGATGCTCGCAACACTCCCACGCCCTTGCTGGCTTGGCAATAGGCCTAGACAAGCGCAGCCACGTGACCCGACGGAAGAAAAACGCTCGGAACGAGCGCTTCCAGCCCCAAAACGCAGAAGGATCCGCACATGTGCAGGAAGTGCAGCGTGCGCTCTACATTCTCGAGCGCCGATGACTGATGATGCTCGCAACCCTCCCATGCCCTTGCTGGCTTGGCAATACGCCCAGACAAGCGCAGCGATGTGACCCGGCGGAAGAAAAACCTCGGATCGAGCGCTTCCAGCCCCGAAACAAGGAAGGATCCGCACATATGCAGGAAGTGCAGCGGGCGCTCTTCATTCGCGAGCGCCGATGACCGATGATGCTCGCAACCCTCCCACGCCCTTGCTAGCTTGGCAATAGGACCAGACAAGCGCAGCCACGTGACTTGGCGGAAGAAAAACGCTCGGAACGAGCGCTAGTACCCCGAAAACGCGGAAGGATCGGCACACGTGCAGGAAGTGTAGCGGGCGCTCTTCATTCGCGAGCGCCGATGACCGATAATGCTCGCAACCCTCCCAGGGCCTTGTTGCTTGGCAAGAGGACAAGACAAGCGCAACCACGTGGCCCAGTGGAAGAAAAACGGCCGGAACGAGCGCTTCCACCCCCAAAACGCGAAAATATCCGCACGTGTGCAGGAAGTGCAGCGGGCGCTCTTCATTCGCGAGCGCCGATGATCGATGATGCTCGCAACCCTCCCACGCCCTTGCTGGCTTGGCAAGAGGATCAGACAAGCGCAGCCACGTAACATGGCAGAAGAAAAACGCTCAGAACGAGCGCTTCCACCCCCAAAACGCGAAAGGATCCGCACATGTGCACGAAGTGCAGCGGGCGCTCTTCATTCGCAAGCGCCGATGACCGATGATGCTCGCAACCCTCCTACGCCCTTGCTGGCTTGGCAAGAGGATCAGACAAGCGCAGCCACGTGATATGGCAGAAGAAAAACGCTCGGAACGAGCGCTTCCACCCCCAAAACGCGGAAGGATCCGCACACGTGCAGGAAGTGCAGCGGGCGCTCTTCATTCGCAAGCGCCGATGACCGATGATGCTTGCAACCCTCCCACGCCCTTGCTAGCTTGGCAATAGGACCAGACAAGCGCAGCCACATGACCCGGCGGAAGAAAAACGCTCGAAACGAGCGCTTTCACTCCCAAAACGCGGAAGGATCCGCACATGTGCTGGAAGTGCAGCGGGCGCTCTTCATTTGCGAGCGCCGATGACCGACGATGCTCGCAACCCTCCCATGCACTTGCTGGCTTGGCAAGAGGACCAGACAAGCGCAACCACGTGACCCGGCGGAAGAAAAACGCTCAGAACGAGCGCTTTTACCCCCAAAACGCGGAAGGATCCGCACACGTGCAGGAAGAGCAGCTGGCGCTCTTCATTTGCGAGCGCCAATGACCGATGAGGTTCGCAACTCTTCCACGCCCTTGCTGGCTTGGCAATAGGACCAGACAAGCGCAACCACGTGATCTGTTGGAAGTAAAACGCTCAAAATGAGTGCTAGTACCCCCAAAACGCGGAAGGATCTGCACATGTGCACGAAGTGCAGCAGGCGCTCTTCATTTGCGAGCTCCGATGACCAATGATGTTCGCAACCCTCCCACGCTCTTGTAGGCTTGGCAAGAGGACCAGACAAGCACAGCCACGTGACCCGGTGGAAGAAAAACGCTCGAAACGAGCGCTTTCACCACAAAAACGCGGAAGGATCTGCACACGTGCAGGAGGTGCAGCGGACGCTTTTCATTCGCGAGCGACGATGACCGATGATGCTCGCAACCCTCCCACGCCCTTGCTGGCTTGGCAATAGGACAAGACATTCGCAGCCACATGACTTGGCGGAAGAAAAACGCTTGGAACGAGCGCTTCTACCCCCAAAATGCTGAAGTGTCCGCATTCGTGCAGGAAGTGCAGCAGGCGCTCTTCATTTGCAAGCTCCGATGATCGATGATGCTCGCAACCCTCCCACGCCCTTGCTGGCTTGGCAATAGGACCAGACAAGCACAGCCACGTGACCCGGCGGAAGAAAAACGCTCGGAACGAGCGCTTCCACCCACAAAACGCGGAAGGATCCGGACGAGTGTGCAGGAAGTGCAGCGGGCGCTCTTCATTTGCGAGCGCCGATGCTCGATAATGCTCGCAACCCTTCTACGCCCTTGCTGGCTTGGCAATAGGACCAGACAAGCGCAGCCACGTGATCTGTTGGAAGAAAAACGCTCAGA